GCTGATTAAAAATTCCCGAGAAAGCATGTAAGTGAAATGGTCTGTGGAGCACAGATACTTAAAAGTCACCGTATCACAGACATCACCACATTATTGCCTGGCCACTGATCCCCAGAGTAAATAATAGATTGTTTGCCCTATTCTCCCATTAAAATACAGCCACTGCACTTTGCAGGAACTTTGTGTAGATCTTTGAGACGTGTCAATGACATACACTGTATTAAATGCAAGGATTATAATAATTATGAAATATTATTATTAATAATAATAATCCTTGCATTTGATTCAGCGCCTTTCACTACGGGAGGACATCTCAAAGCACTTCACAGGATTCATTGTAAAGTGTACTGACTGAGTATTCTGTAGGACAACGATTAAGAGAAATTATTTTTAATAAGAGGGGAAATAATTAACCCAAAATCATTACAAAGAGGCTATTGCTTCTGGTTTCTTTATTTCCACAGACCCAGAGGATTGCAGGCAAATCTAGTGCTGCGTTGAGGATTGGCTCAACAGCGAAAGAGCAAACAGTGCGACGCTGGCTTTGTCAACACTTCAGCAAACTGCAAAGGAGACAGTGAACAAAGGCTCTTTCATTGATGTGAAGGCCTGCTTTCAGACCCACCTGTCCCGCTCACGTCTCATCTCTAGTAGCGCTGTGTACACCACAATAATAATAATTAATAACAATAATAAGTGATTAAAAACCTTAAAGAAAAGGAACTGGAGAAGATCAGAAAATATATCGATCTACAAATTGAATGCAGATGCATGTGGCAGTATAAAACAAATATAGCTCCTATACTCGTTGGTGCAACTGGGACTGTTATTAAGACTTGAGAAATGGCTCGACAAAATAGCCAGTGAACAAAATATCCACCTCCTGCAGAAAGTAGCTCTTTTAGGAAGTTCAAACATACTAAGAAGAGTAACATCCATTCATATGTAACGTGGCAGTGTTATTGGTCTGGCTGACCCATCACTGAAAAACATTTATAAACTACCTCTACAGAGTGATTTACACTGTAATAACAACAATAACAATCCTTGCGTTTCATTACAGCATCTTTCATTCCAGAAGGCTGTAGCAAATCGCTTCATCGGATACACTGTAAAGTGTAGTGACTGTGTAATTTGTGGGCAAGCACGGGTGCCCTTTTGGCAATGGCAATGCCCCCCAAACAACCGTGGAGTGAATGAGCAGTTTTATCTGGGTGATTGCTGGCCAGGGACACAGGGAGAAACTCCCTGTCACTCCGTCAAACTCGCCCTTCACCGTGTTGGTGATTGAGAGAACAGTATTTCCTCTGCGCTCTCTCCGCATGATGCCACAGTGTTGGGGGAGTTGCCAAGTCTCTGCACTGTTGGATCTGGCTGACGGTTACAGCACAGAAAGCCTCAGTTTGGCAGGGCCCGTTTCGTCTGTCCCAGCTCTCTGAAACAGCTCTCTGTGTAGTCTCCCTCCCCTGTCTTTTCCCTTCACACTCTTATACATTTCTCACTTTCAGATATTTTATCTAATTCCTTCTTAAATAGTAATACAGATTCTGTCTTAACCACAATTCCAGGTCAGGCATTCCACATTTTCTGTAATATATAAAAACAAATCCCCCTAACCCCTTTCTTTCCTCNTTTTTGGTAATGTCCTTAAATCTGTGCCTCTTACTTACTTTACTGCCTCACCCAAACTTTCTTTTTGAACAGCCATTAATGATGATGAATGGAACCCGCTGAAAGCGTTCAGGACGTGGCTCTGTTAGTTACTCGCCTCGAACTGGTAGCGGAGTGTTAAGTATATCTTAAAATCTACTAATGCCGGAAACCACATTGAGAAAAACAGCACTACTGAAGGCTCCTGCCTCCAGGATACACAAAGACCCATTCAGCACCGGCAAAGCAGGGAGAAAGGAGACTTTTTTTTAGCAGCTTATGTGCCAGAGAGATTTACAGTAAGAAACGTCAAGTGTATTGACTGTACACGCTGATGCCAAATCATTTTGTGCACAGCAAATAGTGGCATGGAATCTTTAACATCCACATGAACAGACAGATGCTTTAATGTCTCGGCTGAAGGATAACAGCTCTTGACACTGCAAAGCTGAACACTGTATGTCCATTGCAGTGTCTATCTGGGCTTGGAGTGAAGTTGAAAAGTTTTTTCTTTACAAAAAAAAGGCAGGAGAACGTAACTGAACTTTAAAAACGTTTAAAGCAAGTGCTACTAACAGTGCCGTCTTGAGGGACCACCATAGACTGGTCTGTGTATACACTGTACTGACATGGTGTGTGTACACTCTATACTGACAAGTATATGAGTGTTGTGTGTGAAAGCACCTTGTACTGGCTGTACACCAGGAACCTGATGGATTTTTCCCCAGAGGTCAGAGTTCCTTGACAAACCCCAGGTTAAATAGTTGTGTGTAGCCAGTGTTATATACGCACATAAAGGAGAACTGCTCGGAGGCTTTACCACGTTAAAGGCTGGGCCTCCACTAACAGCACCTTCATAAACCTGTAACAGCCAAACCCGAGCAGGCCCTCGAGGTTTTAACTCACACCCGATAGCACTTGAAGTGTCAGAAACAGCTTTACTACTGTAATAGCTACCACAAACCATTTAAATTAAAACAAGATTGAGACATTCGTTATGTTTTCGCTCCTGGGCCCACATTCCTTCCCTCTCACACTAGCTCTCTGTTGGCAGTGCTCTCATCTCAGAAAAGTCTTAAAACATCTGAAAGTGCTTCACAGAATAGACCGTAAAGTGAATTGACTATATTTTGTGGGCAAAATGTATTCAGCAGTGTCCCACAAATAATCATGGATTGAGTGACCAAATTATCATCATTTTTTTTGAAAGGATTATTATTCCCGGAAAGCAATCCGCCAATTGCCTAATAACTGGGCTCTGACTTACTGCTTGATAAACAGAGACGTGTGGATTAAGGAAACTTGCCCAAGGTTTCGTTCTTCCCAGGAATCAAACATGGGACTGCTTGCTTGTAAGGCGATGTCAACATTATAGTTAATAAAGATCATGAAGAATTGAGTCATTGTGGTTTTTACTTCCATTTTTGTGTGACCGTAAATGTTACATCAAAACACAAGACAAAACTTAAATAAAGCAATTTTCTCCCATATTAATTCACCTAAATATTATCCATCAAGTCAGTCTTTTTCTTTTAAAAACACTTTTATTTAAACATCAAAATACCTGGATGAATAAGTTAGTTTACCCTGAAAAGGCAGATCCACTGAACAGATGAGTTTTGGCCTGACACAATGGGAGAAGAAACATTGTAGTCAATAATTAGGAAGCAGCGATCAGTCTGGCAATTTGCGTGTGTGTGGAAATTGTAAACAAGAGAAGTCAAAAGACACCAGTTTGTGCACATGCCTAGTTCTATTTCACATTTGCAGTGTCAACCACAGGTTTCCAGATCTTACACTGGAAGTTGCTGTGCAAATAATTAAACTATCTCCCAGAACAAAGCTCAGGACAATCGGACATTAGTCAGGGGCAGCTGAACTCTCTGTGCTCCAGACCCCAAATTCCACCTCGTCTTAGCCTGCGAGACCATCTTTACTTTCATCAATCCAGTTGTAATCCATAGAATATTTTTGAAAGAAAGTTACGACACAGAAGAAGGCCAATTGGCCCATCGTGTCTGTGCCCCTGGCCATTTTACCACAGCTGTTAATAAAAATAAGAACGGGCTGATAAATGAGGCCTGGTTTGAGAAAGCACTGGGCAATCTGAGATAATATATAATAATAATCCTTGTATTTGATTTTCACATCTTCTAGACGTATCAAAGCGCTTCACAGAATATGCTGTAAAGTGAATTGACTGTATATTTGTGGACAAAATGCAGCAGCCAGTTGTGCACAGCAGTGTCACACAAACAGTCGTGGACTGAAGTGACCAATGTATTATTGTTTTGTTTTGGAGGGATTATTTTTAGGTGTGTGGAGTAAAGAAACTTGCCCAAAGTTTCGCCCTGCCTGGAATTGAACCCAGGTGTCTTGCTTGCAAGGCGAGTGCTCTAACCACTGAGCTACAGGACTCCTGTAAATAAAATGGTCTCCCAGGCTAAGCCGAGCCTCGGGGGCACGTGAACTGATTTAATATGGAGCAGAAGCAGATGTAGGTCTAGATGCACTTAGTTCAAAGAGGTGACTGAGTTGTACAGGCTATCAACGAGGGCAGCTCTCATCATACCCATGGCCCTCTGTGACAGAACACAACACACAGCAGTGAAGACAATTTAGAGGGAGAGAGGAATTAAGTACCCTTGATTAGCTTCGGAAACAAGACACAATGAATGCAGTAGTGGACACTTCTCTCGGCCTATTCTGAGATGCAAGTCCACGAGACAACATTCGTACAGAGAAATTCTACTGGAATCTACTGTTATTTTTGTAGCAAATCAGAGCATTTAGAATTTGGCAAATTCTTCAATCCAACTTTCATTTTTAAGCTGTTTTCTTATAAGACAGAAAACTGACTTTGAAATTATGGCTGAATCCAGCAATTTGCAAAATTCTGCACATGCTACATAAATGGAGTCAATCTGGATTCAGTGGAATTTTTCACCCAATGGATTTCAGATGAATCCTCCAATTCATGACTATTCAACAGTGAGAGGCTGTTTGGTATCAACACAATGGAACAAATGGGGCCAATATACAGTTCTCCCCCATCCACCATCCCAGACACTCTCCTTCAATCCTGATGGTCAAATATTATTCAAGTTTAATATATTTCTTTTTAAAAGACAAATCTTGGACCATAAAAGGAACTTATTTTACATGCAGAAACACCACCCGGATCTGGATTTATTCTGTTTTAAGTTGTAAACAGTGGGTGTAAAATTTGGTTTAATGTAGTCTTACAATAATAATCCTGGCCTTTGATTTAGCACCATATCATACTATCGAGAAGACTCAAAGCGCTTCACAGCATTTCAATGTGAAGTGTCATGATGGTGTGTTTTGTGGGTGAATGTGGCAGCTAATTTGAGCACGGAAATGTCCCACAAACAGCCATGAAACGAATGACTCATTTTATCGGGGAGATTGTTGGCCAGGGCATAGGGAGAAACTCCCTTCTCTTCAAAACCTTAACTTTGACGCTGTTTTTTTCACCGTAAACTACAGAAAAAAAAGTGGCTTCAAAGTTAAGACCGAATTCGGCAATTTGCCGAATCGTGAAATGCTAAGAAAATAAATCTCAAGTCGGGTGGAATTTCACCTCAAACTATTTAAAAACCCTGTGAACAAACGGTACCCATGTATTTCTTTCAAGGCACAAGGTGAGCTCAGAGTCAGGCGTGTTGCAGGCTGAGTTGGAGTTGACATAAACCAGAGAGATCTCTGTCCGGACAAGGGTTCTGGATTTCTGTCAAGGTGTTGACTATTCTATGGGTCCACAAAAGACACTGCGATATATCTGGTACCGTTCGTCGTTGGAAGCCCTTCGTGCAGGTGAGTCAGACGCCCGGGATGCATAAAGCTCCATCCTTTCCTGGGAGACTCGATGGAGCAGTTGTAGCGGTGAAATCGACAGCCACCTCCCTGCGGATCAAACCTTCAACAATCAGTAACAACAACAACAAAATTCCATTTATAAAGCGCCTTTCATGTCAGGAGGACGTCCCAAGGCGCTGCACAGTTGGGTCATGACCCGAGCAGGGGGGAAATGGTCAGGGTGAGGGGAGGGAAGGGAGGGAGCGAGGAGGGGGAAATGGTCAGGGTGAGGGGAGGGAAGGGAGGGAGCGAGGAGCGGGGAAATGGTCAGGGTGAGGGGAGGGAAGGGAGGGAGCGAGGAGGGGGAAGAGAGTCGAGAGGGGAGCTGAAGGCACGGTCAAAGAGTAACTCAAAGTCGCTCCACGTCAATTCAATATAACTGGCTGCTCGCTTTAAACAGAATGAACTTCTGATAACTCGACCCTGGCTGAACTTGTCACTAAATCATCCTACTGTCAGTATCCCGCTGCATTTACACATACGCCTAACTCGACAGTCTGGATAACTCATCACTGAGTAAGTTTCCTTGGAGTGACAAGTTATCAGGAGTTTACTGTATAAGCACTTTGAGATGTCCTCCTGAAAGGAACTAGAAATCGTATTTTATTCAGTTCTTGGACAGAGGGGACATCTCAAAGCACTTTAGGCAGCTGGCTGGGAGCTGCAGGGTAGCTAGGGAAGGGGTGGGTGGTGAGGGGGAGAAGCTAGCTAAAAGCACGGTCAAAAGACAGACCTTAAGGCAGTAAGGATGCGGTCTGTGGAATTTTGGATACGTTTATGGAGTTTAAGGAATGCGATGCCAAGGAACCCAGCGTGGAATATCTTTTGCAAGGTTTTGCTGCCGTCTAACAACAACAACTAATTGCATTTATATAGCGCCTTTCATGTCGGGAAGAAGTCCCAAGGTGCTGGGCAGTCGAGGGTTTAAAAACAAACGGGGGGTGGGGAGGGGGGGGCTGGATAAACACTGGATTTGAGTAAGTCAGAAACACCCGCTCAATGGTACTGGGGGGGGGGGGGGGGGGGGGGGGGAAGAGAAGCTAGAATACACAGTTTTCTCAGTCTGACCCCAGTTCATGGGAATTCCTTCCCCCAAACTGCTCAGTCTCAAGCTCCTTCCTCCCTGTTTTTAAATCCCTTTAAAAACTAATATTATCTCCCTCCTATCCCCCTGCTCCCATTTGTTCAGGTCTCCCCAACGTTCCTGTAAAAATCTTTGAGTTGTTCTGCTGGGTGAAACACTAGATGTACGCAGTTGCTCAGTCCCAATGTGTATTATTGCTGCAAATGCACTGGAACTGGAACCCAGTCGGAGGCACTAAATTTGACTGACAAGGATTTTTACCTTCAGTTTAAGACTGAGCAAAACTGTGCGAGATTCTTAAATAAATATTGTCTAGATTTGCGAGAATTAGGAAGGCGGATTTCCAAAATTAATGTTGAATTTACATTTTCCCCCGATTCTGAGCTGCCGTAACTTTTACCCCAAAACATAAGATAGGGTAAAGGCTAGAACTAGGTGGAATTGGGGTGGGGGGGGGGAGAGGGTGGGGGTTGTCTTCTGACAGCTCAAGGATCACGCTGGGAGTAGGGTTTGGCATAAACGAGTGGATGGTGCTTTCAATCAAGCTTGCTCTCCACTCCCTGGTGAGGGTTTCTTGTCTGACAGCTTGAGCTCATTGGCTTCAGTGGGTCTCCTGAGCACGAGAGAGAGAGAGGGAACCCAGCACAAGTCTGAGTAGCCATGGGAACGCACATCTTGGCTTCTGCCTTGCAGCCGCGCCACCTTAACATCAACAATTGTCTGACCTGCATTCCATATCCCATTACATAAGGCGTGAATGAAATCTTTCCAAATGGAATCAAAGTAGCTGACCTCAATCCCTGCATCTTTCCCCCTCTCTGCCCATCTTCAACTCACACCTGAAGACTCTCCGCTTCAACTGTGTCTGCCTCGGTCACCTCTCCCACCCTCCCCTGCACTGCCGGCCAAACCGTTGTTAAGCATTCCAAGACACTCCCCTCGTGAAGGACGCTATATAAATGCAAGTTTTGTCATTTTGTCAAACTGAAACGGGACTGAGATCTATTGATTCTCCTTGCAATTTGAGAGCAGTCAAGAGCAGCCCACAGCAAATCCTCCCCTGCAGCTAACCAGACAGGAAAGGGAGGGGGAGGGTCTGTCCTTATTTATCCTCCCTTCCCTCAGATGGCCTGGTCTCGATGACGAGCTCCATCCACTCCCAGCATCTGGCAGACAATTCTTGTGTCTTGCTGCTATTCGACTCAGAGGGTGGCCTACATATTCACAAACACTAAACTCTGTACCCCAATCACACTAGCCCTTTCCAGACGCCACTGGCTCCCTATCACAGAACGATTTCAAGATCCTTTCGCTCGGCTACAAATCCCTTCACTCCCTGCACCTCCCTACCTTTCCAACCTGCATTCTCCCCATTACCTACTGCTTCTGCTCAGCTATCTCGGGCCCTGATTGTCCCAGCTTTACAGTTGGTTGCTTTATAGCATTCAGTCTGCCACAGGCTTGTAAGTCATGAGAGCTCTGTCAACACTGCAGCTCACCCAAGCAAAGAGCTAAGAAGATATCTTCAGGTTCAGATGAAGATTTGGCCCACCTGATCTTTCCAGAACAACCACACTACCACCCACCCATTGCGGCACTGAGCTGCTTCTTAAATGAGTCGAGTCTTGACCGACTAGAACCCCCATCAATCCATCTGTCTGTCCCACCAATTCAGCCACCATTACCTCGCTCTCTGAAACTCGCCTTGAAAATCCTTAGCCTCGCACCCTCCCTCCTATACCTCTACTCCCTCCATCAATCACCAGACAGGTTTGCTTCATTAAAGCAGAAGCAGAGTGAGAGCTCATCGCAGTCCTGGGTTAAGTTTTCAGATGAAAATCTGTGGTGATGGATCAGAGAATGAGATACAGTAAAAAGTGGGATAGGCAGAAGTGGGTTTAACTCACCTCAAAATCTGTTCCTTTGCTATTTAAAGCCACGTTTATAGTGAAGGTTGAGGAGTCGTGATGGGGTCGTAGAAAGGCCTGTCTCTCTGGGGTATATTTAACGACAAAGTTCAGCATAGCATGTCCCTGGAAAAGAACCGTAAACCTTCAGTACAGTGTTATCAGTGGTGGTAGCAGGCTAAGACTAGGTGGAATTGCTGGTCGATAGGGATGAACAGGGACAAGGGAGATCTAAGGATGTTAAGCAAAGACTCAACCAAAGAGATATATTTTTAAAGCTGGTTATTAAATTAACATATAATGGACGGAAAGGCAGTTTCTCCTGGTGTCCTGATCAACAATGCCCCAAGTAAAATTGGTTGCTCACTCTGTGGCTGTTTATGAGATGTTTGCTTTGCAAACGCAGCAGCTAATTTTTGCACACAGGCAATGTCCCACAAACAGCCAGGATGTGACTGACCGATTTTTAAAAAAAATCTGGGTGAATTGTTGGGCAGCACACCAGGAGACAACACCCGTCACTTTTCAAATAGCACCAATGTTCACCTGATCAGGCAGATGGGGCCTCAGTTTAATGTCTCATCCAAAGGATGGCATCTCTGACAATGCAGCACACCCTGAGCACTGCATTGGAGTATCTGATTACAATGTGAGCTCAAAGATGACGGGGGCTTGAACCCCCAACCGACTGAGCCAGGCTGACACTCACAAATCTGTCCCTCTCTCTTTATGCCTGCAGAGTGCTGCACAGACGATGCTCACCTTGGTCTGGTAGCCGGAGAACAGCTTTAACGTGACAGGTGCGATGTACTCGCGGATGAAGTGCAGCCACTCGTAGTCTAGTCCAATTTGGGTCATATGGATGTCGTCTGTCGGGACGTTTTCATAGCCTCCGACCAGCCGTTTGTCCTGAAATACAATCACCAGATGGGTGAGACTTTGAAGCATTCAGAAAACCTTTATGAGACCCATCTCTTTGAACGCACCTTCAGTAATCTCCATCTCCCACTTACTCAGGCTCTCACTCCCACTTAGATATCTCTAACTAAGTGAAAGGCGCTATATCAAATACAAGGATTATTATTATTATAGCTCATAATAGGGCGGAAAAAGACCAGCTGAGATTTCACCTCGCTTCTGCCACCTGACCAAATCCCGTAATGCTCCATTTCCTCCACCAGATGATCGCACATGGTATCAGAGAAGATGGGGAACCAGTAAACATCCGGACATGGCTGTAAAATTGAGAGGTAAAGTATGAGACAATACATGTCAGGCGGTAATAAACAAGGTCACCAGGATGCTGGACTATATATTGCTAGATCATTTAAGTTTAGATCCCCAGGTATCATTTCTGAAGCTATAAGTTGCACTGCTTTGCTCAGGCTGCACCTTGACTATTACATACAATTTGGACACCGCTAAATAAAAGCACTGCCCTCTGCTCATGTCTTCTTGTTCTACTGTTTTGTGGCATTCTAAAGTATTGTTCTAGGTTTTAGATGTTTCACTCCTATTTATGATCGCTATACATCTCTACAAAGGCTGCCTCTGAGACAACTCCTTTGAAGACTGAAGAGCCCTAGCTTGTCTAATCCTGTAGCGTATTGATTAATTGATTAGAGCATTTGCCTTGCAAGCAAGAGGACCTGGGTTCGATTTCCAGGTGGAACAAAATGTCTGGCAAGTTTACTTACAGAGCTCCACACACCTTTGTTTACCTAGCAGTAAGTAGGAACTCAGTTGTTAGTCAATTGGCGGATCACTTTCTGGGGGTAAAAAAAATAATTTGGTCACTCAATCTATGATTGTATGTGGGGCACTGGTGACAGCACAATTGGCTGCCACGTTTCACCCACAAAATAGTCAATTCACTTTACAGTATATTCTGTAAAGCACTTTGAGATGTCTCAACAAGGGGATAAGGCGCTATATCAAATGCAAGGAATATTATTATTATAGCTCATTTCTCTAACTCTAATGATCATCCTTGCTGCTTTTCCTAGGGCCTAGGCAGACCCCTTATGTCGCGGTGACCAAAATAGTATGCAGTACTCTAGATGTGGTGCAAACTGATTTGAACAAAGCCTTAAAAATAGCTACACACCTGCTCAACCATGTCCTCGGAGAAGATCTTTGAGTAGTCAGGGTGGATGTACTTTTCTCTCCAATCCTACAAAGAATAGACAGTGACCATCAGGACACAGAGTAAAAACCACTCGCTCCATGGCTGCTTGTGGGACTTTGCAGGAGCGCAAATTGGCTCTTGTGTTTGCCTACAAAATACAGTCACTACACATTACAGCAACTGAACCCTTTGAGACATTCTAAATGTCAAATACAAGAATTATTATCATGAAGATCACCTTCAAATCCTTCCATCGTCTCTGCTCACTGAACACCAGCATGTTTCATATCTCCCACCCTATGCCCCCCATAACTGGGGAAGGGGCTTTCAGTCATTCTGTCCCGCCGTCTGGAATTGCATACCAGAGCCCTCCTCTCTCACCTCATTTATAGTAGTCTCAAGATGTAGCCCTTTTGGATATCATTCCCCATCCCAACCCACTCTGAAGTGTCCAAACCAGCAGTGTTAAGCTCTCTGAGACATCCTCATGATGTGAAAGGTGCTGTGTAAATGTAAGTTGTATTATCACTTATCCTATAACACAAGAACTGTGTTCATCTGCTTCTTAATAGACAAACTTAATGCCACTCTCCCCCCACACAGATGTACTGACTTTACCCTGTTCCCAAGCTTGAATTCCAATGCTGTAAAGAGTTCAATGTTTGCCAGTACTCACCAACGGGTTGTCAAATATCTGCCAAATGTCACTGTGCAAGTGAGAGGTATTGTAATTCTGGGTTGAAATAAGCCGTCCAAATTCATGCAGGTTGGTGATGTACATAAAAATACCCTAAAGACCAACATAAGACAATCAGTACAGACTGTACAACAAGGATCGGGAATAGACTGTGCATTTGAGAATGGGGTTCAATGGGAGCAATTTTAATAGCTAGCAGCATGTCCACTGTAAAGAGTTGAGCTTGCTCCGCATATCATTAATTCAGATACATATCTCTTTTTTGGTCACCGGGTGTCTGATACACAGATCACCATGCTTAACGGTATCCAAACCTGACTGAGAGTTACACATATGCATGCCACTTACACGTGGAAATCTCCCGGTATCTGGAATGGAATATACACTCTCTCCCTGGAGGGAGACATCCTGCTTTCCTAGAAATTCATGGCACATAAGAGAGGCCTTTCAGCCCATTGTGTCAAATTCCTGCTTACCGAATGAGAAGCACCCTGCTTTCTTAATGTTTATAAAGGGCAGCAGTGAATTAACGTGAAATTACAAGGGATGGAGGAGAAATCTGGTTAAGCTTGAAAGGTCTTTTCAATGGGTGTTGGTTAGACTGCCCCGCTAATATCTGCAACGAATCCTGTTGCAAACATTTTGCCTTAATAGTTTTAATTCACAGCAATAATTTCTGATGCAACAGATAAATCTGTAGCAAAATGTTAAAAAAAATTTAAAAATTTACTGCATAGTCATACACTGCATACATTGTGTATTCTTTAGATGACCAACGCTGCATCCTCACTCTTTACATAGAAGACATTGCTACCAATACAGGGTTAAAATGGCACAAAGGTTCCTGAGAGCATTGGGAGCTCGACACAGTGGAGCTGTTTTCCAATTCTTGGTGATGTCTCACCATTTGTTCAGTAACCCCCGATAATTATTAATACATTTCACTCCCGGCTCAGCATCGAGGTCCATTTCGCCCACAAAATATACAGTTAATTCACTTTATAGTATATTCTGTGAAGCGCTTTGAGACGTCTCAAAGACGTGATAAGGCGCTGTATCAAATATAAGGATTATTATTGATATTTCATTTCAAGGATTAAAATGTTAAATTTAACTAAAAATGTAGTTATATTATATAAAACGTAATTAAGTTCAAGGAGTTACACAGAATGTGGCGCCAGGTAAGGATTTAATTCACTTCACAGCCACTTTCCACCTCTTCCGCCAACTAAATTTTGCTTAAATGTCCAAGTCTTTCAAATTATTCACAACTCAGGCTTATGACCTTGCATGCGTTTCCAATGTCATTATCTCAGACTGTGTGGAATATCAACCCGTTCAATTCTGTTTGGTCAGCCAGATAGCTGACACATGCAGAAACCCATCACCATGCTTTAGAGTATCCAAACCAAACGGAAAGTTCCATGCATCCTAACTACACATGGGAATTTCTCTGTGTCTAAACGGAATGTGCAGAGATTTGTCCCTCCTTACTTAACTCCAGAGTGTATTAGGCGCAGGTTGGCAAGAGCCAAGGCTTGGCCTATGAAAATGCAAGGTCGCTCCTCTTTACAATAACATCCTATGATGCACTTGGACAAGTTCTCCCAACGTGAAAGACAATATATCAATTGTACTGATTGCGGTTATTGTTCCAGCCTTGGCTCCTGTGTTACCATACGCTAACTCAGTTAGCAACTGGGTGAAATCCCTTGTGCGAACTCTCAGTCAGGTAGTGAGAGGAGTGACATAATGACTGTGAAAATGAAGAGGAGCAACTTCCTATTTTGTAGTGTATATAATTTTTTAAAAACAAACACCTCACAGGTCTCAAAGTCACCAACTTGAATTTCACAAAGGGATATGTTCAGTGACACGAGTTTTTCCTTTAACAGGTTTTGGTTTCGATCAGCCAGGTATCTTGCCATACGCAGAAACCCACGTCCGTGTTTAAGAGTCTCGAAACTTTGGAACTCCCTCCCTTGACCCCTCCATTTCACCGACTCTCTATCTTCAAGTCCAGACTTAAAACCCATCTTGTTGAGGTAGGAACATATGGTCACTCCACTCTCCTCCCTGCTCAGCAGCCATCTCCAAGTAAAGCGCTAATTAAGCACAAGTTGTTGGGAGACACAGATGACAGCAATTTCAGATGCAACACACTGATCAGAAATTGGTTTCACTTTCAAAGTCTAAGATCCACAGGTATTACCTCCAGCATCATCAAACCTCTTGTGCGGAGATGGGAGAATATCAGTGAATTAAGGTTTTGATTTAAAATCAACGAGGAAAGTGCTCGGAAACAAGGACTGGAGAGGCATTTAACAAAGAATGTAGCGGAGCGGTCTGATTAAATCACTGACAACTCTACACATGATGTTAGCAACCAACACTGAACAAATATAGTCACATTACATCAGTGCATTGCCTGCTATGAAATGCCACTGAACTTTGAACGCCTGCCATCAAATATGTTTTCTTCAGTGCATTGTATGACAGGGGATAAATCACGCACCACTTCAATGTCTTGTGCTCCCATTTCTAGCAGGCAGTCTAACATGAGGTTTACATTAGCAGATTCCTAATTATTGAAGACAAAATAGCTGGAGACATTTCCCCACCCATCCCCTCTTCCCTCTGCTGTTCGACCCCCCTCTTCGACGCTGCTGTTCTCAATGCAGATGTCAGTTGCCAGTTATAGCAGCCTCTACCAAAACTGGCTTGAATAACTAGATCAGATCTCAGCTGTGGTAGTATAAATTGACCTGTGTATCGGTAAGGGATCCCTGAAAATTCCATCTCCTGCTTACTATCCAGCATCTCCCACTAGATAGGTAGAACACTCAATAGAACACAATCATTGTCTGTGAATCTATATCCTACTCAGACCACTGGCACTCGTCGTCGATTCTCAGGGACAACGAGTGGTCCCTTAGGTTAAGACACTGATGGCTTCTGGGGCCCGTGGAACCTCGGAAGCCATCCTTAATGGCTCACAAGAACATTTGGAAGGATAGTTTATAAAATTACTCTTTCTTCTTTTCTTGCAGTTTATTCGTTTGAATGATCTCTGTAGCCCCTCACAACCCCTTGTCTAGTCTGTTCCCATCTGTTCCAAAGTCCTAGAACGCATTGTTGCCAATAAACTCCACGCACACCTCTCCTCCCACTCTCTCTTTGAACCCCTCCAGTCTGATTTCCGCCCTGCCCAACAGTACAGAGATTGCGCATGTGAAAGTCTCAAACGACATCCTCTCTATCTGTGACCCCTCTGCCTCCTTATCCTCCTGTAACTCTCCGCCGCTTTTGACACAGTCGATCACGCCATCCTCCTCCACGGCCTTTCCTCTGTCATCCACCTCAGTGGGACCGCACTCGTGGTTCGAGTCCTACCTCACAAACCGCCAGCAGTACATCTCCACAAACGGCTTTTCCTCCCACTCTCGCCTCCGGGATACCCCAACGATCCATCCTTGGCCCTCTCCTCTTCCTAATCTATATGCTCCCTCTTGGGGATATCATCCGCAGACATGGGGTATACTTCCACATGTATGTGGACGACACCCAACTTTATTTTTCCACCTCACTTTGCGACTCCCAGGCCCCTGATGTTCTGTCAGCCTGCCTGTCAGACATCAGGAGCTGGATGAGCGCGACTTTCCTTCAACTAAATGTTGACAAGACGGAAGTCATACTCTTTGGCTCTTGTCAACGTCTCCAATCGTAGGGTCTCGCCTCCTCCACCCACCCAACCTGCCCCTAAAACTCTCCGAACCGGTACGCAACCTAGACATCAGGTTCAAACCCCAATTATCCTTCCTCTCCCACATCTGGTCCCTCATCAGAACCGCTTTCTTCCACCTTCGATGCATTGCCCATCTCCGCCAATATCTCACCCCAAAAGCCGCTGAAACCCTGGTCCATGCCTTTGTCACCTCTCGGCTGGACTATTCAAATGCCCTCCTTGCCGGTCTCCCCTTCACTACCATTCATAAAATCCAGGTCATCCAGAATTCTGCTGCCTGCATTCTTACCCACACCAAACTCCGCTCCCCGATTACCCCAGTCCTTGCCAGACTGCACTGGCTGCCTGTCCCAGAGAGGATCGATTTCAAGATATTCACTCTTGTTTTCAAATCCTTCCGCGCCTACCTCTCTGACTTCCTCTCTCCTCACAACAGTGCCCGTTGCCTTTGCTCCTCTGCGTTTGGCCTCCTCCTTGTCTGCCAAATCCTCGGCTCAACTATCGGCCACCTTGCCTTCAGCCACTCCCTTCCTCACTCCCTTCGCCTCGCTCCCTCTCTTCCTACTTTCAGGTCTCGGCTAAAGACCTTTCTTTTCAACCGCGTCTTTGGTCACCTTCTTCCCCCTCCCCCTGGCTTGGCGCCAGGATCCGATATTGTGAAGCGCTCTGAGACGCCGTCCGGCGTGGAGGGCGCTATATAAATCCAAGTTGTTGTTATTGTTGTCTGCCTTGCCTTGTAAGCCGGAAGCTTAACTGGTCAGTGAGCATCTAATAGGCACCAGAATAGCCCTATTGTCTTGTGGGCAGAGTCCTGTTGGGTCAAGCAGTCAATCTCTTTGACTTCAATATGAATAAGTGCTGAAACAGTCCAAAATACTTGTTGCACCGTGGGATATGATGGATTTTTTCACTGGCCAGCAGTGTCTTCAAGGTCAACTAACACCATGGGCTATTGTGTGGCATTTGCATCTTGAATGGATTTTGTCTCATGGTTTTCTCCTCTTTTTCCACTATTTACACCACAAGTGAGATGTTGAGCCCATATCAACGTATTTCACAGTTGTCCGTGTGTAGAGTAGAAAGATGATTTCACAGTTGGGATTGGTGGGATTCAGAGTTTACACACGTGAACGAATCCACAAACCTCCATGAAGCGAATGAACAATTTTATTTGAAGATTGTTGGCCAGGACACTGGGAGAAGCTCCCTTCTCTTGTCGAATCATGCTATGGCTTGTGTAACATCCACCTGAAAAGTTTAATGTCTCATCCATGTTTGTCTGCCAAATGCACAGTTACTTCACTTTCCAGTGTATGATGTGAAGCGCTTTGAGAGGTCCTGCCAACAGGAAAGGCGCAATATCAAATGCAAGGATTATTATGATCACCTGGGAGATTCCAAAGTTTACACTGTGTGACCTTCAAGATTCCTCACCAATGCTTTGAGGGATTTCTGACTTTCCCTAATTTGTATTCACACATTAGTGTGTGTGTCTTCCTATTACCTGTTAAAATGGAGCGAGGAAGTACATCAAAACTAAAGCAGCAGTAAAATCTGCAAAGGAAATTTTTCTTACAAAAGATAACGTACAAAATCCTGAATCCATGGGTTTCCTGGTGCAGTACATTACAGTTTAAGATTTGCTATTGTTTAACATTTCGAAAGAACCCGTCTGTAACCCATTAAACACATTAAACAGTGAGTGGTCGGAAAAATAGTTGGAAATGTACTTGGCCGTCCTCTCCAATTCTACGCCCAGCCACTGGAACTCCTTTCCTTGACCCCACCAACTTGCACCCACCCCCTCCTCTCTATCTGTCTTAATCTCCTACCTCAAAACCTACCTTTTCCACCTACGATCATCTCCTTACCTGCGGTCCCCTGGTGTCTGCCCGCCATTATAAAGCACTAAAGACATTATTCTACATGACAGGCGCTATGTAAATACAAATTATTGTTGGTAACTAATATACAGGGTGTCCACAAAGTCTTGTTACCCCCCTGTACTGAATACAATTAAGTATTTCTAAATACAATTATCATAATTCTTCCAAACGTTTCAGTTGTTAGGGGGAGTAACCGGACTTTGTGGACACCCTGTAGATGTTAAGTCAGAGAGAGGATTGGGCCCAGTTCTTAGTAGAGACGGCGCTTCTTAAGTTGGAAAAAAAGTCACAAAAAGGCTTTGTTGTTTACGAAAAGATTGAGGAAACAAAATGAACCTTTGGGGGCTTGAACATATGGAAACTCTCCGGTGTAGGGGAGCCTTTCTCCTTTTCTATTGTCTAAAATGAAGGAGAAGTACTGAGATTAAGATTCACCACATTGCCACGTTAAATCAGAAACATTGTGTGAGGAGAGACAGAGAGCAGCCACTGGAGACGTGCTTTAACTCAAACTCGCTAGAGAGGTGTCTGGTTAATGTAACCAGCAGGCAGCTGTGTCGGCAAGTTTCAAAGCACAAGTGAAAGAGAACAACAGTCAATCTCCCTCTTGGCCCCCACCTTGCACTCCCACGCCAATGGTTAGTAATGCTAGAATTACGTTAATGGTGATACATCAGGCAGAGATGAGTTACAGAGGACATGAGGAGCAAAACCAGCCACAATCTATCGGTTCTCGGAAAAACGGTACGCATAGAAGAGAAAACAGAGCTGTTTCCCACAGGGTGTCACAACTGAGAGGAAAATTCATCCAAGAGGTTCATCCAAAGAATGACATGTAGGAATGAGAGTATCATGCCTGATAATACAGTACAATATGAATACAATAAGAGTACAGTACAATAAGAGTATGGGGAACATACGATCAAGGTAAGAGGAACACATGATCAGTGCAAGAGGGACATACAATCAGCTTAAGAGGAACGTACTCAGGGCAAGAGGAATGTACGATCGGGGCAAGAGGAACGTACGATCAGTGCAAAAGAAACGTACGATCAGGGCAAGAGGAAGAGGCGATCAGATCAGAGTAAGAGAAATGTATGATCAAGATAAGAACACATGATCAAAGTAAGAGGAACATACAATCAGGGTAAAAAGAACGTATGACCATGGTAAGAGAAATGGACGATCAGTGTGGGAAGAATGCATGATCGAGGTAAGAGGAATGTATGATCGGGGTAAGAGGAACGTATGAACAATGTAAGAGGGATGTCTGTACTTGCCAGCTCTTTTGATATCACCTTTTGCTCCCACCAGTTTGCTGTGAAATGTAAAACTGGGGAACCTACGCAGTTTTCTGTGCAATTTGCAAACATCCCGAACCAAGGTGGGGGGAGGGGGGGCGGGGATGTGGGGGCGGGGGGAAGAGAAGCTATGAGCATGAACGGGTTTAGCTGCTGTGCTCCCCACAATCACTGAGCTCCAGCACCAATGCCTTTCATCAGGTGGATTGGGTGCAGAATCGGGAATCGAGACAGATAAAGTAAAATATCCCTCCCTCCCACCAAAAAAAGCTTGAACCACAAAGGGGCCAGTGTTCTTGTTCACTCTTGACTTAATTTCCATATTTTCAGCCAGACATAAGCACTGCGGATTGATTGGAACCTTTCTTTCATCCGCAAGCGGGCAACTGCTCTCAAAACAAAGTGCATCTGTGGGAGCGGAAAATATCCGCCGAGGGATGTTTGTTCTGACAATTTAAGGACCCACCTGGCTTGAAAGTCCACAGATGACTGTTATGTGTACCCAAAGCCATGCTGTCAGGTCTTTGGCAACGCTCTCTTCATGTCATAGGGTTAGACACAAAGTACTGCCTCTTGCTAAACTGACACACTGTCAGTTTCAAAGCCCGCTCGCACACGCTTTTAGGTTTTAAAAGGTGTGCGCTCACAAAAAAATTATTGCTATGTCAAATGCAAGGATTATTATTATTATTATTATTGCTGTTAATAGATTCTCCTGCCAGACGTGGCTGCAATTGCTATCAATCCACGCATTAATGTGAAGCTCCAATGGAATGGCTCCTTAAAGGAGGGTTTATTCCAATTTTTTTGTGGTTTTCTTGGCTTTGAGACAAGCTGATGCTAACATGGAGGCTAGCATGTATTCCCTTCACCACAGTCAAAAGTCGTAACCCCTTGTCAACCAACTCAACACCGAAAAATTGGCGAGCGGCGTAATAAAAAGGAGCTTAACTTTTCGAGGGATGCAGACACAGTGTTAGAACAATCTCAAAAAGAAAGAACAAGATTACACTGTTCAACAAGGATATTTCAGGTCTTAAATTGATGTTATTTTTAACTCTCACTAATCCAGGTTGTGATGAGCATTTTCACACCACATTTTTCCCCTGTTTCAGCCAAGAATTCATACTTGGTTTTGAAAGCTGAACGGGAAAATTGCACCTTTAAAGGTTTAAAGAATTTCACATTGGAACATATCTCTCAGGCTCGATACATGTTCCCCATTGATATGAGGTCTTCGCTTATTCGGTCAGATACAGTATTCACATTGCTATGTGAAAGAAGGTGCCATTACAATCAAAGGCATTACTGCAAATGTTAAGTTATGTATTGAGTTTCATTCTGACAATAATTTATTATTGCAGAACTGATGTATGATTAAAAAGGTCTGGATTGTAAGGGTCAGGCCACCAGCTTGTGGATTTCAGAATATGAGATGTAAAGCATCGAGGGGATTCATGCGCTGATGGTCAGTCTTGAACAAAGAATCACATGCACGTGCCACACACTCACACAGACATGTCTATGCAGGCTCACTGGCACACTCACATACACTGGCACACGCACATACTCACACATACGATCTCACGCTCGCGAGCTCACACACATTCACATGCGCACTCATGCGCTCGCACGCGCCAACGCTCACACACTACTACACACGCCCGCACGCTCCCAACCGCGCACCCGCACGCTCCCACACGTGCGCCGGCATGCTCTCACATGCATGCTCCCACACGTGCGCCCGCACACTCCCACACGTGCACAGGCACGCTCTCACACGCATGCTCCCACACGTGCGTCCACACGCTCCCACATGTGCGCAGGCACGCTCTCGCACGCATGCTCCCACACGTGCGCCCACACGCTCCCACATGTGCGCAGGCACGCTCTAGCACGCACACTCCCACAAGCTCACGCTCCCACACGCGCGCGCCCGCATGCTCCCACACACACAATCACTCGCATGCACCCATCACCCCAACCCCTTACCATTTCCCTAACAGTTCTGCAGAGTGACATGTCAGCATCCATCCTGTCCAGGACAAAATGGTTCTTCTCTTTCATGTGCGTTCTCAGCACCTCTCCTTGAATAAGGTACACGTGAGCCATGTAAGGGACGTTCCACAGGCCTCTGCAAGACACAACGCCACCAACATCAACTATAAGCTGCTGCTCAGCCCCAGAGGAACTCAAACCCTGCGGCTGCCATTCATTCAACAGTAGTTCTCTGGCAACCACACATTAAGGGCAATAAAATGGGTCTGATTCCAGCAAGGATACATTTTATAGCACCATATGTCAAAATCTATCAAAGTGCTTTTGTAGGCATTTCAGTCAAGCGTAATACCTTTCTGATAGGCTAGCGAGGTAGCGATTTTGCACCCAACAAGTTCCCGCAAACTGTTTTGAAGGGAAACACACTTAAAAAATAAATGTGGTCACTCAGTCCATGACTGTTTGTGGGACACTGCTGTGCGCAATTGGCTTTCATGTTTCGCCCCAAAAATTACAGTCAATTCACTTGATTGTATATTTTGAGACGTTTCAACGTGATAAGGCGCTATATCAAATGTAAAGATTATTATTTTATCTTAGGGGTTTCTTGGCCATGACCCCCAGGATGTAAGATAAATATGAGAGTCAGTGGTAGATCTAATAGGGAGTTTAGGAGGAACTTCTTCAAACAAAGGGTGATAGAACGTGGAACTCACTGTCAGTCACTGTGGTCAAGAGCATCAAATGTATTTAAGAAGAAAGGTAATGCACACATGAGTGTGAGAGGAATAGGGAAGGGGAACGGGGGAGCCAGAGGCTCGTGTTGCCTATAAACACCAGTGTGGACAAGCTAAGCCCGTTTCCATGCTGTATCACTCTATGTAACTACGCAATTCTATGTAATTATGTCACTCTTTTGATTAAAAATAGCTGTCAACTGAGCCATGTTAACCGGTCTAATATGTGCTACCACAAATACCGTTGAGACAGCCAAAAAATTAATTTGTACGAAAGTTGACACGATTATAATCTCGTTGGCAGACAGGCGTACCTCCTATCGTGTTAAACCAGTCGCTTCTCAGCTGTTCCTTCATCCACATGCACTGCATTGGAGCGAAAGACTATGTGATTCCAAGTACCGACATGGGGCTTGAACCCACAAGCGTCTGACTTAAGAGGAGAGAGTGCTACCAACTGAGCCCAAAATGGGTGCTAAAAATGCGAGTTACTCACTTTCTGTCTCCGTGGATGATATCAATGTAATCCTCAGAGCGGGCGTAGTATCCGTCTGGACTTAGAGCCCCCCAGAAATTGGACCACAGCTTACCCGAGCGGATGACCATGGGAGCAATAATTTTCCTGGAGACCAGAGAGAAGAATAAAGTACCATGAGGCTGACAATCTCATCATTGTGACTGTGGGCTGTGGACTGTGGAGTCCTGTAGCTCAGTGGTTAGAGCACTTGCTTTGCAAGCAAGACACCTGGGTTCATTTCCAGGCAGGGCGAAACCTTGGGCAAGTTTCCTTACTCCACACGCCTAATAATAATCCCTCCAAAAACCCAAAACAATAATAAATTGGTCATTTTCAATCTACGACTGTTTGTGGGACATTGCTGTGCGCAATTGGCTGCCGCGTTCGCCCACAAATATACAGTCAATTCACTTTACAGTATATTCTGTGAAGCGCTTTGGGACGTCCTCCCGACGTGAAAAGCGCTATATCAAATGCAAGGATTATTATTATTATTATTATTATCATACTAATATAGTAATGATATAACGTATTATCACGTTGTTCTAATGCCTCAAAGCATTTTTCTGTAAGGTGCAGGCAGCTGAGTTTTGTAAGTGAACACGGCAGCCAATTTGCACATAACAATAGCCCACAAACAGCCATGAACCAAGTGACCTGTCTTATTTGGATGATATAGTTTTTGGAGAAACTCCCTTCTCTTTTCGAATTGTACCAAGACATCTTTTAAGATCCTCCTAAACTGTAATAAACCTGCTGTGTGCAATACAATCCAATTCACAATATATTCTGTGAAACGCTTTGAGATGTCTCAGTGATGTCAATGCAAAGATTATTATTATTATTATAATAATTATAGATGGGATCTCGGTTTAATGTCTAATCCGAAAAACAGCACTGTCTGACTATGCAGTTGCAATCCCACCCCTGCATTGGAATGTCAGCCTCGACTATGTGAGCTCAAAGTCCCAAGTATTCCAAAGTCCCTTCAATCAACAACCTTCTGACTCGGAGGCAAAAGTGCCTCTGATTATCCAGCTTGACTGTACCGCAATAAAATTAGAAGCAGAACATATAACCAAAATCTTCCCTTGAATTTGGCTCAGGTTTGAAGCTGACTGTCTGCCTTAGTTGGAAGGGAGTATTGACAAGCTACTGTTTCATACTTAGAAAAGGAATACTGGAGTTAAACGCTGGATGAGTAAGATTTTCTTTGGATCAGAGAGAGAGAGCGCAGCTCTTGACATCCAGTACTTACACTGAAATCAGACCTGCACTTCAATGGGAAGCCCCGATTTGTCTGGGACCAGTTGAACGGAAGGGTTTAGACATTTGACTGAAGTGGTTTTTAAAACAGTGCAATTTCTCTGCCGATTAATGACAGAGCAGAGAGCATGATTCGTGAGGATCCTTTTTTTAAATGCAGGCACTTTGAATTCCACCCTCTCTCATTTTGTTCGGAGATTACAGCCTTGCGTAATAACGGTTAGCCGAGAGGCTGGATTAATTTAATCACGGGTGTGCACTATTTTAATCTGCAGCATTTACATCAGGTATTTTTAAAACTGTCTTTCCCCCCACCCTGACTCTCAATGTCAACAGGACCTCACAGCTAAAGTACAAGTCTGCACACATCTAAAATGGGCAACATAATAACAATAACCCTTACATTTGATATAGCAAGCACTTTATCATGACATTGAAACAACTCAAAGGGCTTCACAGGACTTTTACTGTAAAGTAAAGTGACTGTGTATAATAATAAGCCCTTGCATTTGACAATCACGACTGATCACATCGTTGAGATGTCCCAAAGCGCTTCACAGAAGACTCTGTAAAGTGAAGTGACTATATATTTTGTGGGAGAAATAAACTGTGACTGCGCATTTCGTAGGCGAATGCGGCAGCCAATTGGCACCCGTACAGGCATAGACGGGGAGCGGTCTTATCTGAAGGATGACACCTCTGACAACGCAATGCTTCCCCCAGCACTGGCATGTCAGCCTGGATTAAGAACTCAAAGGTCCCCAGGTGCGACTTGAATGCAAGACCTCCTGACTCAGAGGCAAGAGTGCTACCAATCAACCAAGGCTGTGGGGATTGTTGGCCAGGACACAGGGGGAAAAAAAACCTTCTCTTTTCAAATAGAGCTGTGGGATTTTTAACGATCCCAACCATCAGCTCGGATGCGGATCTCTGACTGTCCAGCGCCTTGGGACGTCCTCCTGATGTGAAAGGCACTACACAAATGTAATTTGTTGTTGTTGAGACTTGCCGCTTTTGCTCTTGACATGCATTCGTTCAGCCATGGCCCCTTTCCTGCAAACGATTTACTTCCCAATCGATTCCGCTGACATTTGCAGCGAATCCCAAAGGTGACGTGAATGTGCAGTCATTACCATTTATTGACTGAGCTCTTAAGACGACTCAAGCTAATAAAATCTCTGTGTTTGCTTCAAGTGGGTATAAAACATGTTTTATTAAGACAACCACTCATAACAGTGGATACTTATGTCCTAGACTGTAAAAATGCAGCCTCCAGCACAGAAACAATCTATTCTTCTCGCCTCCTGATAGAGGATATCAGTCTAAATTCTAGTTACATTATAAGATAACGCGGGGGTGTTTAAATGAAATTTCTTTCCACGACTCTGCTAGAGGCAGTCTGCTTAGTAATAATAATAAAAATCCTCGCATTTATTACAGCGCCTATCACGTCAAGAGGAAGAGACATTAAAGGAGAAGGACGTTGTGACTTGGAATCACGTAGTTTAAGTTGACAATCCAACGCAGTGCTGAAGGGGAGTGTTGCAATGTCAAAGGTGCCGTCCTTCGAATGACATGTTAAACCGAGGTGGAGTTTTACATTCGGTATAACGCCTTATCACGTCGGAAGTCTGTCTCAAAGCGCTTCACGGGATTTACTATGAAATGGAGTGACTGTATTTGTAGGCGAATGGAACAGTTCAATTGTGCATAGCAATGTCCCACAAACAGCCACAAAATTAATCACCAGTTTTATTTGGGGGTTTGTTGGCCAGGACGCTGGGAGAGAGAAACTCCCTTCACTTTTCTAATAGTGCCATGGGATCTTTTAAAGTCCTGTAGCTCAGTGGTTAGAGCACTCGCCTTGCAAGCGAGATACATGGGTGCAATTCCAGACAGGGCGAAACCTTGTGCAAGTTTCCTTACTCGATATGCCTAATAATAATCCCTCCAAAACAAAACAATAATAAATTGGTCATTTCAATCCACGGCTATTTGTGGGACGCTGCTGTGCGCAATTGGCTGCCGCGTTTCGCCCAAAAATAACAGTCAATTCACTTTACAGCATATTCTATGAAGCGCTTTGAGACGTCGAGAAGAGTGAAAAGCGCGATATCAAATGCAAGGATTATTATATTATTATTATTAAAGTCCACCTGAATAGTCACATGGGATCTCAGTTTTAATGTCCCACCTGAAGGATGGCACCTCTGACAATGACACCTCCAACACTACATCGGTGTGTCAGCTTAGACTATGTGATTCCAAGTCCCGATGTGGGATATTGCCCGACATACACACAGTTTAAAGTTTTATGAATAAACACGTTTTAGAAAACCGGTTACCTGTTTTGTTCCATTAGAAGCTTCAAGGTGTCTGAATTTGTCAGCATCACATCTGCGTCAAGGCTGAAGTAATAATCACACTCTGGATCCTGACGACAGGAATCCCTGATTTGGAGAGAAAGGAAAGACACACATCACAGGCAGTGAAATTAACTCTCGCTTCTTAGAGACAGCTCTGACCTACTTAAGTCCAGCTGCAGCTGTGGTCTCAAGTTGTTGGTTTAATGTTAATCTTGGCAGGTTTCATTTCCATTTTATCATTAAAAGGAATTTGTAGAAAATAGTAGAAACATTTTACATAACACACACACACACACCTACAAAACACACAACGTGGAAGAAATACTCAAACATAAGAAACCCACAGATTTTCTTAGCACAGAAAGAGCAGGAAACACAGGAGACTTTTTTTGTAACAAAAGATGATAAACTCGTAAGACAGTCCACCAGCACAATTGGAAAATGACACAGGGACATTCCCATAAAATAACAAGCTGCGGTTAAGAGATTAATACTGTTGCAATCATTTTGCCTTCAGGGGCTTTGTCTCTGCCCTTGGGGGAAGGAGGTGGGAAGAGCGAAGTTGGGGAAGAGGCTAGGGCTCCTGACAGCTGAGACAGGTAAGTGTTAGGTTTAAGGAGTCTCATCTCTGCAGACAACTTCGAGTGTAAGCGTGGCTTTAGAGACGTATCATTATAAAACGAATCAGGCAGAAAGTTAGATAAATTGTTTAGACATGTTTATTGTTTTAAAAAAATGTTTACAAATGTTTTTCACTCAATCCAGGACTGTTTGTGGGATACTGGTGTGCGCAATTGGCTGCCGTGTTTGGCCCACAATATAAACAGTTAATCTGCTTTACAGTATGTTCTGTGAAGCTCTTTGAGACATCTCAATGATGCAATAAGGCACTACGTCAATGCAAGGATTATTATTAGACGCCTTTCTACTCCTGAAGTTTGCACTAATAGTCTGAGTCTCAGATGGTTTTATACGTCACGCTCTGAAGCACTTCGCTGGGACAAAAGTGGGAAACTCAATGGACAGACGTAAAATATAAGGCTTTCGTACGTGTTATTTACTGTGAAAGGGCACGGCGCACTTCCATGTGACAACGCATTGGTTTAGAACTGCCAGCGACATAGAAGAGCAATCAAGAGGNAAAAAAACACTGAGCTGGCAGCTTACCAAACATGCAGTCATTTAACTAACAGCGTGTCTGCAGTGCTGAAACACTCAACTTGTAATACACTGCAGAAGCTGCTCCAAACCCTTTTTAAAATTTTTATAACCCTTGTGATTTAATTTAACGCGTATTTTTTTCTTATGCAGAGCCAAATCGTTTTGTGCCTGTTCGCAAACGATGCAGTCGCAGCTGGCTAATCCAAATGTTAGTCTTTCAAGCCAGGTTTTATTCCTTTCCGTTGATGTGGAAAGAGTTTGCTCACAAATTGCAGTCAATCCACTTTACAGTATATTCTGTGAAGAGCTTTGAGATGCCTCGATGACATGATAAGGTGCTATATCAAATGCAAGGATTATTATTATTATTACTAAAACTGGGCTGCATCCCTCCGGGGAGAGAGAGTACGCATTCCATTCCAGACACAATGAAATTTCCATGTGTAGGTGGCATCCATATGCGGAACTCTCAAGTCTGGTTTGGAGACTCTTAAAGCATGGTCAGACCCAAAAAATCTGTAAGCAATTTATCTCAATCACGTACCCACCGATCACTTTTCTATTTTTTTTTGTCTGACACGCGCGGAAACCCATTACCATGCTTAAGAGTATCCAAACCAGACTGAAAGCTCCGCATATGCCTCCCACCTATGCACAGAAATTCCCTGGTGGGACGCATATTGCTTACCTAATTCCGGAAAGTATTAGGTGCAGGTTGGCAGGGGTAAAGGCTGGGGCCAAGGATCCGAGAGTGTGCGTTGGGGTAACTACTGGAGATCATTTTTCTACCTTGCTCTGATTTAGTCCCTGTCTTTTGCTGATTCCTCTTCTAAGCCGGGTTTTACTCCTTACCATTGATGTGAAAAGCTTTGTTCTCTTCTGGCACTGAGTTTATAGAAAAAGTGAGGCATTTAAATGACTCCATGCCCTTACCTCACCCTACACTTCCTCCTGCTGTCCTAATTCCCCGTCCACTGCCTGTACTCCACTGACTGAGGCCAGCTCCACATCCCCCGCTCCCTCTGTTCCACATGTTTAGTTCAGGCAGAAAGCTATCTGTTCCCAACTGAGTCATGTAATGTAAACACATCATATTGGGTTGTATAGAGCAATAACAGACCATTAATAGCAGACTATATACAGTGTCACGGTTAATATCAGATTATATTTTCACTCTGAAAATCAGAATATATAGAGGTGTCTCTGTGATTTCAGATCACACAGAGATTTGTCATTGCTACTATCAGACTATATTGGCGTTGTCACTGTTAATATCAGATTATACAGAGGTATCACTCTTCAGATCAGACGTTATAGAAGCGTCACTGCTAATATCAGATTATACAGTACAGAGCTGTCACGATTAATATCAAGACTATATGGAGATGATACTGTAATATCAGACTATATAGATGTGTTACTGCTACACACAGGTGTTCACTGTTAATATCAGGTTATACAGAGATAATTGCTATCAGCACACTATATAGAGCTGTCTCTGTTAATATCAGGCTATATAAAGGTGTCACCAGTAATACCAGGCTATACAGAGATACAGTAACATTTACTACTGCTAATATCAGTCTATATAGAGGAGCCACTGCTAATATCAGATTACATAAACTAGATATACTTTGGCCATTGGATACAGCTACTTTAAAAGGGAAATCCCATGTTCAGAAGGGGCAGTGAGCCCCACAAGGCTGAGAAACAAGTTTTAAACACAAAGGAACAGTTCACTCAAAATAAAAAGTCAAGCAGAACAGAGGGTATAGTGACAGACAAAAGCTGAGCAAGTCCGTGTGCAGTCAATGTTTGCAAAAGTTTAACTCGCGTGCTGAACACAAACAATGGTGTGCGGTTATTCGCTGCGAGTAGTAAGCACAGCTACTCACATGCCCATGTTTCTGGCTTCTCCCTGGGTCAGATTCTCTTCAGGCCCCACAAACTTCACGTTCTGAAGTTCGGCTTTGTGCTTCTCCCAGAATTTTTGGATGTGTTTCTCGTGATGAACCTCCTGGAACAGAAAGACAGTTACAGCAGAGGGAAACGGTATTGCTGCATCCGACTTAAACAATTTTTAAAAAAATACTATGGGCTGAATCGCAGACACAGTCACACCCAGTAGTGTTGTGGTAGTGTTGAGAAACTCTCTGATTTTACTACAAGCCTTGTCGGCTGAAGATGAATTGTAAATTATTCAAGTAATTCTGGTCTGTTGTCTCCGCTTTAACTGCATCTTTTTCGGTCAGATGAAGTATCTAACGCACAGGGATTCCCATCACCGTTCTTAAAGAGTATCCAAACCAAGTTAACCTCTATACATGTATGCCATCTACACATGGAAATTTCCCTGCGCTTGGAATGGAATGGGCACTCTCTCCCTGGAGGGACGCACCCTGCTTGCCTAATTCTGGAGAGTATTTAGGTGCCGGCTGGTGAGAGACGAGGCTTGGGGACCCCAGAGAGTGCATTGGGTGTATCTGCTGGATATAAAACCGCTTGCGATTGAGAGCGCTGTCTGGCAAGCTTTTCTGCTGCCTGTCCAGCTAGACTAGTCTACCCATTAAAACCTTAACTTACTGGATTAACAGGAACAGAATTGGGTCTGTCCCTCTACGTTCTGCCGATGGACCAGGATGGCTGAACTGTCATCAGCAGTGCCCTGTACTGCAGACCCGCCTGGATCAGCAACTGACTAGACCCACCACAGGGGTTTGATTCCAAAATTCTGTTGCAAAGCTCTCAGATTGGAAGCAGCTCAGCCCAAAGGAGACTCTGGTTACCACCCCCCCCCCAGGGATTAGTCAGTCGAGTTGAGAGGAATGAGGAAGAGCACGTGGAATAAGGGACTCACATTATTATGGATGAAGAAATTGACTTTTTCTGCTGGATAATTCAGGGTCAGCAGCCGCTCCAGGAATTCTGTAAGGAAAGGTGTTGGCTGTTCGATGAATACACCAATAGTCAATCTGGGAAGTTCCTACATGAAAGACACAGCGACCGGGATTAGGAAGGAAGGATTCCAGATACAAATGCTGAGAATAATAACAATCCGTTCACAGGATTTTATGTAAAGTGTAGTGACTGTGTATTTTGTAAAGTGAACACGGCAGCTAATTTGCGCACAGCAACGTCCCACAAACAGCCTTGGAAAGAAACAACCAAATTTTATCTGGGAGATTGTTGGCCAGGATACAGGGAAAGAGAAACTCTCTTCTCTTTTTGAATAGAGCCAAGGGATCCTTTAATGTCCACTTGAAGAGGTAGTTGGACCCGTGAATGTCTCATCTGCAGAAAGTCACCTCCGACAATGGGCTCTCTCCCACTGGAGTGACAACCCAGACAATGGGAGCTCAAAGTCCTGACATGGAGTGTGAACCCACAACCTTCTGACTCGGAAGTGAGAGTGTTACCAACAGTGGTAGGCTGAATACAGCTGGCACAATATATAATGGTGGTGGAGAGGGGGAAAAGGGAAGATAACTGAGCATATTTATTGTCCAAACATCATGCTGGAGTATGCATGTATGTGGGAAAGGCACTGGTTTGAAAGAGATTCATCTGCCGATGTCACAAGGCTGACTGGGGGCGGGTTCTGTAACATCGCATTGCACAATATCCAATGCACGACTCTTTCCAATGGAATGTGATTTAACAGGTCTCTCGAGGGTTTCTGCGCACAGCTGGATGCATTCAGTGTTTGGTTTCTGGCCCCCTCCCTGCCAAGAAAACCGTATATATTAGGAGGCCTCAAATCAGAGTGTTTAGTTTTTCTGCCATAGCATGTGTACGACCGCCAGCTAACTGCACCCTTCTGCAGAATGCACATATAGCTTGAGAGAAAAGCTTGAGGCCTGAACATGGCCCTTAACATCCTCTAAAAGGAATGTAATCAACTCAAAGGCCTTTTATTGGAGCAGCTTCATTTACCTAAAGGAAGTGTATAAGGCTTCACTGTATATACATAGCATTTTCATTCTCAGGGAACTGGGAAAGTCAGTGAACAAGAGAGTGAGAGAAGGACCATTGTGTAAAGCAGGGCTCTCTCCCCAGTGCTAAAATTCACAGATGTTTTTCCATTCCTTCAACCCCTCAAAAAAGGTCACATATAATAATAATAATAATCCTTGCATTTGATATAATGCTTTTCATGTCTTCTAGACCATAGCACAGAAACCGCCCTGGTCAAGGTCACCAATGACATCTTGACCATCTGCGACCAGGGCTCCCTCTGTCTCCTCATCCTCCTCGACCTATTGGCAGCATTTGATGCGGTCGACCATGCTATCCTCCTCCACCGCTTGTCCTCTCACCTCAACCTTCAAGGTCCTGTCCTTGAGTGGTTTAGGTTGAACCTCTCCCACCGTCTTCATTTTGTTTCCACACACGGCTTTTCCTCCAGCCCCCGCACTGTCTCGTGTGGTGTCCCTCAGGGTTCTGTGCTCGGTCCCCTGCTCTTCACCCTCTATATGCTCCCCCTTGGTGACATCATTCGCAGACATGGGGTTAACTTCCACATGTATGCGGATGACACCCAACTCTACCCTCAACTCCACGACCACCGATGTCCTGACAGTCTGCCTGTCTGACATTGAGTCCTGGACGAGAGACAATTTTCTTCAGCTCAACGTGCGCAAAACTGAGGCCCTCCTGATTGGCTCACGTCAGCGCCTCCGCACCTCAGGCGCTGACAGCATCAGCATCCAAGGCTGCACTCTCCACCTCTCAAAGCCAGTCAGGAACCTCGGTGTTCTGTTCGACCCTGAGTTGTCCTTTCTCCCTCATATCCGCGCCACGACTGGCACCGCCTTCCATCACCTCCGAAACATCGCCAGACTACGGCACTACCTCACCCCTCACGCTGCTGAAACTCTGGTCCACACCTTTATCACCTCAAGGCTGGACTATGGGAACTCCATCCCCCAGTGCCTTCACCTTGCCTCCTCCCTTTTCTTCTTCAAGGCCAGTCTCAAGACCTTTCTCTTTGACCGTGCCTTCAGCTCCCCTCTCGACTCTCTACCCCCTCCTCGCTCCCTCGCTTCCCTTCCCTTCCCCTGACCATTTCCCCCCCCTGCTCGGGTCCTGACCCAACTGTCCAGCACCTTGGGACATCCTCCCGACGTGAAAGGTGCTCTATAAATGAAATCTTGTTGTTGTTGTTGTCCCAAAGCGCTTCACAGGATATACTATAAAGTGAATTGACTGTATATTTGTGGGTGAACGCGGCAGCCAATTGTGCACGGCAGTGTCCCACAAACAGTCGTGGATTGAAGATGACCAATTTATTATTGTTTTGTTTTGGAGGGATTATTATTAGACGTGTGGAGTAAGGAAACTTGCCCAAGGTTTCGCCCTGCCTGGAATTGAACTCAGGTCTCTCGCTTGCGAAGCGAGTGCTCTAACCACTGAGCTATATGACACACATTCTGCTCCAGAGATCAGATCTGGCGGTGTCCTGCTCCAAATCCTGTTAAACTTCACCTCTGCAGGCGAGTAAAATGCAGGGCAAGTAGGACTGTGAGCTGCAATGCCATTGGAAATGATTATACAGCGATTTACATGAATAATAATCATCCTCACATTTGATACAGTGCCTTGTCATGAGGTTGAAATGTTTCACAGCACTTCATATGATTTATTGCAGTGCGCAACTGGCTTCACACAAAAATTATGCATTCACTACATGTTGTAATATATGCCATGAAGTGCTTTGACACGTTTCCCAGCGCTTTGGGACTTCCTCCCGACATGAAAGGAGCTATACAAATGTAATTTGTTATTTGTTGTTGTCTCAACAACAGTGATAAGGCACTATATCAAATCCAAGGATTATTATTATTACTGTATTTTCTGAGCGAATATGGCAGCCAAATTGATCATAACAATGTCCCACAAACAGCCATGAATTGAATGACCAATTTGATCTGGGGGATTGTTGGTCAGGACACTGGGAGAAACTCCTATATTTTCGAATAGTGCCGTGGGATATTTAACATCCACCTGAACAACAACAACAATTGACATTTGTCTTGCACCTTTCACATCAGGAGGACGTCCCAAAGCGCCGAACAGTAAGGTATCCGCACCGGAGTTGGTGGTTTTGATCAGGAGGGGTGGAGGGCAGGAAGGGTAGGGGTAGAAGTGTGACCAAAGGCATGGTCGAAGAGAAGAGTCTTGAGATGGGTCTCGAAGGAGGCAAGGGAGGGGGCGAGGCGGAGGGACTGTGGCATGGAGTTCCAGAGGGGAGGGTGGGTCAGAGAGGCTGAAGGTCCAACCGTCGATGGTGGGGTGGGCAAGGCGGTGGGATGTTGGTTTGAGTATTGTGTTTTGGCGGGTGGGAGGGGGGGGAAGGGAGTTACAAGTGGGGCCATGTGACTCAGTCTAACCTATTGACCAGATCAAGAACATTGTGGCAAGTGACGTGGAAGATGAATAACATCACACAACATTGGCTGGAAAGGAACCAGGGTAATNAAAAAAAGCATTTTAAATGTCGCACATTCTGGCCTCAACAGGCCTCCTTGTAAACTCGTTCCAGCTGTTGATCACCATCTGTGTAAAGAACTATGCCCTTTTATCTGCCCTAAACCTGCCCTCAGTCACCAAACCTGAGCTCTCTTGCCTTGTTGCTTTGACGTATCTGAAAGTATTCTAGATTTATTTTTTCATCTCTCCTGTTAAACATCTCGCACACCTTTTTAATGCTTGAATGGTGAGACTCGAAGGGTCCAAAATTCTACTTAGTCTTATCCTGCGGGATCTTTTTGCCTTGAGATTTAAGATAGCACAGAATTCTTCAATTAGTGTGAATTCAGATGCCAGTTTCGTGCAATTCTTTAAAGAAACCAAATTAATAAAATAATAATCTTTACATTCACTAGTGCTTTCCATGCTGGGAAACGCCTCAGAGGATTCAATTCAGTGACTTTATTTGTAGGTGAACACACAGCAGCCAATTTACACACAGCAATATCCAACAAACAGACATAAAGTGAATGTCCAATTTTATCCGGAGGGATTGTTGGCCAGGACACCGGCTTCCCGTATGAGTTTATAAATTGAAAAATGTTCCACATTAATGCAGCACCGTTATTTTCTTTTTTCAGACTAAGACTGGGTGGAATTTTTTGCCCGTGATTGCTCATCTTTCCAGAGAAAAAATACAGTTTGAAATTAATTTCAATCTTCAAAGTAAACCACTTCGTTGAGTGAATTCTAATATTACAACTTCAGTGTTTGGCATAGAGCAGCAACCTCCCGTATAGATATATATATGTATCCTCCCTGCAGTAGACCATCTGTCCCAAGATCTGCCAAACCCGTTGACTTAATAGGTTTAACAGGAGCGAGTCAAAGTTTCTCAAGTAAGTGCTAACAAAACACAGAAGATTCCCATTGCTAAGTTTATTTTGAATGTTCTGAGCATAGAAAACTCATGAATGTTCATTGTTTTATTAGAAGCAAACCCTTCTGGGCTTCTGTAACAGGATAGGGCAATAGTCTTTGGCAAAGAGATATTATTACAAGCTCAAGCAGTTTAGTCAAGAGGAAGTTTCTGGTTCTGGGTTTTGAGAAAAAAAGGTTTATGTAGTTAGTACATAACTCTGCTTACTTTTCTTTCCTACATGGCTAATGCTTATCCACACAACTGAACATCTGAAAAAGCATTCTATGGCTACACAGACTAACAGTTTCCTGGCATGGGACAGAGCTACAAATGGCACAAGACCATAATAGAGGTTCAGATGACAACGACTGTTGGCTCATCCTACAGTCTTCCCATTAGAGCATCGAGATGGTTCTTAAACGCGTCCAAGTCCCTGGCCTTAACCACCGTCCCTGGTAACCCTGCTCTAATCATTAATTACCACTCAAATCAAGGTATACTTCCTAATGATGTGCTCAAATTGTCCTTCACAACCCTGAACCCTCATATGGCCTAAAGTATCTGAAAGCATTGCTCTATGTTGACTTTCTCAATCCCATCTTGGAATGCCTTAGAGATATACAACCCAGGCTAGGGAGACTTTGTCTAAACAAAGCAAGGAATTGGGATGATAATAATATAATCTTTACATTTGATATAGTACCTTATGTCGATGAGCCATCTAAAAGTGAATTGACTGTATATTTTGAAGGCAAAATGCAGCAGCAAATTGCTCATAGCAGAGTAGATAACACATTCGGCTAACACATTAAGAACTATAACCCCAATCTACCAATCTCTCATGATAGCTAGCCTCTTCAGTTGAGGTATTTGTCTAGTGAACCACTGCTGGACATCTTACGAGTGTTGGAAAGCCATTGGGACACAAATTCTCCAGTGGATAAAATAAATCCCACACTGGGTAAATTATGAGAACAGACTGCTGTTAATTGTAAAGTCATTAGAGAAGGATAACAAAGGGAAAACACTTCACCATAAATGTTATCAGATTAGTGGGGTGGGTCACACTGTTCCTTCAGTTGTATGATCCAAGCTCAAATGCAGCACAGACAGTGTCTTTACATGCAACTAATCCATTTGTAATGCAAATCTATGAGTGCATACAAAAGAGCATTTGGGTGTACGACCACAGCTCAACACATGCAGAGGTAAGGCCATTGAATATAGGATTATTATCCTCAATAAATGATCCCAAGGATGATCTGAAGGCACTATTTGAAAAGCAAATTGGAGTTTCTCTCTACCGATATCCTGGGCAAAAATCCCTCAGATAAAATTGGTCATTCACTTCATGGCCATTTGTCAGATGTTGCTGTGTGCAAATTGGCTGCGATGTTTCCTTACAAAACACACAGTCACTACACTTTATAGTGAATAATGTGAAGCGCTTCCACACACCTTGAGGATGTGATAGACTGCTGTATCAAATGCCAGGGTTATTCGTATTAATATCTTAGCTGGTTAAATTCCACTTGTTTGTGGGACGTTCCATGTTCCAATTAGCTGCTGTATTCACCCATACAATACAGTGACCACACATAACAGTAAATCCTGTAAAGCACTTTGAGATGTCTCAACAAAATGTTAAGATGCTGTATCAAATATAAGGATTATTATAGGTGTAGCACAATGTAAATGTAGGGAAAACACTTTAGCTCTTCACCAAAAAGTATGTCTATTCCCAAACTTGAGTCATATATAATAATCTTTGCATTTGATGAAGCGCTTCACGGTGTTTTGTGTAAATTGCAGGCACTGTGGACAGCCATGATGTAAATGATCAATTTCATTTGAAAAATTGTTTGCCAGGACAAAACAAGAGGAAACACCCTTTGATATGAGAATTCTGCTGCAGAACGATACTGCTTGCGGTAATCTGACATGGAACAAGCTGAATTGTTTTTCTGTTCATAAGAGACTCCAGCCAAACAGTCCTGTCTCACTACTAAAACAGTCCTGTACTGCAGAGCATTTGTTTAAAAGGTTAACATCTTTAGCAAATGCAGGTTCAATGGCATGTTGTGTTGGATGTCTAGACGGATGACAAAATCAAGCTCCCATTGCCCATTCTATTAAGGACTATGTCATAACCACACCATCTGTTTCCCATTTACCTCATCATCAGTTCCGTTAACAGACCTGTGGGAGAAATGCCCTTCCAACTGGTTGTCAGAAAACACAAAACACAGACTTGGGATTGATTACCAAGTTTTCAAAAGGACTAGGTCCATATACAATTCGAATATTCTGTCTGTTCTCCTTTGGGCCAATCAACTGAAAATTCCTTCACCGCCAACCTTTGGAACAGGACTGAAACCCGGCACCACTTAGAATACCACATCAAGTTATTTTGGTTTCATTTCACATTTCAAAGCAAAAATTGTACATGTTCTTTTTTACTTATAAAGCTTCCCAGTGTGTAATGCAAGAGATTTATCTATTATTTTCTAATGTGGGAAAATAACTTGTTTAATCCTCGCTGCTCTTTTGTGCTTACGGAGGACGGAAAAGAGGAGCAGGAAGAGGCCATTCAGCCCATTGAACCTGTTCCACCAGTTTAATTGATATTTGCAGGTGTTCCACTCTCAAAGCCTTGCCCTTTTGTAATACCATACCGACCACCTATCTCTAAAGCTTTCTGGGCAGAGCATTACACATCCTCACTAGCCTTTGTGTGAAGAAATAATAATATTTCCCAGCTTCCGCTTTAACTGTCCAAGTGTTTGGTTTTGTGGTTTATCAAACTGCAAAGAAACTCAAATGAGGACAAATCAGTTTATCTTCCCATAGTTGGCATTCAACAAGGCACATCGACTTCCTTAATAAATACTTGCATTGGATATAATGCCTCATCACATCATCGAAATGTCTTCAAAGCATTTCAGATGATTTTACTGTGTATTCAAAGCTGAAATCGACAGTCAATTTGCACACAGAAATGTTCCTCAAATAGCCATGAAGTGAGTGACCGATTTTATCTGGGAGATTGTTATAATAATAATAATCCTTGCATTTGATATAGCACTTTTCACGTCTTCTAGATGTCTCAAGCCCTTCACAGAATAGACTGTAAAGTGAATTGACTGCATATTTGTGGGCGAAACGCAGCAGCCAATTGCGCACAGCACAAACAGTCGTGGATTGAAAGTGACCAATTTATTATTGTTTTGTTTTGGAGGGATTATTATTAGGCTCTGTGTGGAGTAAGGAAACTTGCCCAAGGTTTCGCCCTGCCTGGAATTGAACCCAGGTGTCTCGCTTGCAAGGCGAGTGCTCTAACCACTGAGCTACAGGATACCAGGGGAAACAAATAGTGCCATGGGAACTTTAACATCCTCCTGAAAAGGCAGACAGGACCTTGGTTTAATATCTCATCCGAAGAACGGCACCTCCGGCAATGTGGCACAACCCCAGCATTGCACCAGTATCAGCGTGGACTGTGAGCTCAAAGTCCAGATGTGGAATAACCTTCTACCAACTGAGCCAGGCTATCAAGGAGCTTTTTATATGGATGTTTTGCTTGTTTTAATTCACAGCTAAGTTTGCAGTCCCTGAATGTTACAGTCATTTTCGCAGCTGCACCACTTGTGAACCCAACTTTTTTTGGTCAGCCGGGTGTGTGACACATGTGGAAAACCATCACCGTGCTTAAGAGTGTCCAAACCAAGCTGAGATTTCCATGCATCCCACCTACACATGGAAATTCCAGAGATAGATTGTTGGAACGGAATGCGCGCACTCTCCCTGAAGGTACAAATCCTGTTTACCTAATTCCAAGAATATTAAGTACAGGTTGTCAAGACCCAAGGCTTGTGGACCCCAGAGTGTGGGTTGGATACTGTTGGAAGTCTAACCAGCTAAAACCATATAGGTTGCCTTTTGAAAGCACTGTCAGGCAAGCTTTCCCACTGTTTATCCAGCTAGAATCACTCTACCCATTAATGCTTTGGCTTGCAATGTTAACAGGAGCTGAGTGGGAGGATTCCATGCCCGTTGCTATTCCGTTGCCAAACATGTCACCTTAGAATCAGTTCAGCTCCAAGGAGACCCCGCTTATCTCCCCTCCCCCCAGGAGGATAGTCAGGAGTTGGTCATGAAAAACCAAAGAAAGGCAAGTACTCACAGCCAGCGTTGACAGATCCAACGTGTCCTGGTCACAAACAGTGCAACCAGTCTTTGCAGTCCAGGTATCAGGGATGTAGTTTCCCAGATAGTTCAACAGGAGCTAATAAATCAAGCACAAAGATCAAGACTCAAAATATTTCTATAATAGAAAGAGACTTTTCAGTCGATATACAAAGTGAATTTTTAAATTCTGGCCTTCGGACTGTTTATACAATTCAATTAACATTTATATAGCGCCTTTCATGTCAGAAGGACGCGTCAAAGCACTTGGCAATGCTGGATGGGCATATTTTACGATCGGAGAAACTCCTGTCTTTTCAAATATCTTCATGGTATCTTTAGCATATTCAACACCTGAACAGGCACTGATAGGGGCTCAGTTTAATATCTCATCCAAAGCACTGCATCTCCGACAATTCAGTGCACCTCTCAGGAGTTCACTGGAACAGCAGTCTAGAATGTCAGCTCAAAGCCCCAAATGCAGCGTCTGAACCCATGACCATGGGAGTCAGAGGCAGAGTACTCATGACTGAGCCACGCTGACTTTAGCCACTTGTATTAACTGTTCAGACTCAGGGTCGCAGTGATTGTGGGTGCCTCTTTTTGCCATTCTCTGCATTGGTAAATGGCGAAAGATAAGACAGGTGCCGAGGTCCAGATACCTTGGTATTTCCATTGCCGTGGATTAGAACAGGCAGCGTTTCGTACACTATGTTCCTGACTCGTGCCTTTCCGTTTTCGAACTTCAGCTCCACTTCATCTGGTAAAAAAGAAACGTCACATTCTAAACTTCTAGTTTTAATATCAATGGGCTTACTTTTGAAAACCGCATCCACTTAAATAGTCAATAATAATAAAACAAAGTGCATACAACGTCTTATTGAGTCAACGAGACATCTCAAAGCACTTCACGAACATACTGTGAACTGAATTGACTGTGTATTTTTGTGTTCAAACATGGCAACCAATTTGCGCACAGCAATGGCCTCCAAACAGCCAACAGTAAGTGACCCATTTTATCTGGGGGATTGTTGGCCAGGACACAGGGAGAGCAAGAAACTCCCTTCTCTTTTGAACCATGTTATGGGATTTTAAACATCCACCAGAACAGGCAAACGGGACCTTGGGCTAACATCTCATCCTAGTTAATGACTAGGAGGTCTCCGCTGTGTAAAATGAGACACATTTTTAAACCCCAGCCTCATCCATTGCTAAGTCCAAACAGGAAAGATTGTTGGAAAAAGGTTCTGGTATCACAATGCTCTGAGCATCTGCTACGCAGATGACAGGTTTGAGGAACAGGCATGCAAAGAGTTGCGAGCTCTCTCTAACAGGATATAGCAGCAAACGAGCAACGCTGTCTGTTTGGACAGCTCTCACAGGGTGACTCGTTTCAACTCCCCGAGACCACAGAATTTCTACTCCAGTGACCGGCAAGTGGAAGGTTCCGAGCTTACCAACAGCCCCGTTCAGGTTTTGGAAAATGTTGCTTTTGTGATCCAAAGTCATATTGAGAGAGACCTGAATGAAAGAAGAAGAAAAATTGTTAGCTCTGAAGTTAGCTCCGAGCTGCAGGGATAGTATAAAGGGTATATGTTTGAGATGGAGGTGGAGGGGAGGAAAGACGGGGAAGCGAGGAACAGATTTGATATCATAATAATCCTTGTATTTGATACAGAGCCTTATCACGTCGTTGAGACATCTCAAAACTCTTCACAGAATATTGTAAAATGGATTGAGTGTATTTTGTGGGCGAAGCCTATCATGCACAATGGTGTCCTTCTTATAATAGATTGAGAGCGCTTTACAGGGCATTGTGGACTCCTCCTGGACACAGTGGTCCAACCGAGTAGAAATTAGACTTGGTGGCCCATGTAGAGAAAAACAGCAGCCGGGCCCTGTTAGGCCAAACAACTTGCTTAAGTGCCCATTATTTCAGTCTAAAAGCAGTAAAACTTAATGAAAACCCTTTCCCCTTCTCTTTGGAACGATTGACTCACTCTCTTTGAAGGGTCCAGGTAAACCTTGGTGTAGAACAGCTGATCATCATCGTTGTCTTGCAGCTCCCACTGCTCCACAATGCGGTTCAGGTGTGTGGCGTAGCCCATAAAAGCTTTGACAAGTAAACAGAGCAAACGGATTACATGGCAACCCACATTCGGGGAGGGCAAGGTCTCGGAGTGCTGTACAAGGTAGCCTGGGATCACTATATCAGGGTGGCGGTTTATGGAAGGATGAGATCAGATGGGCCAAAGAGCCTCCTTCATTCTAACATCTTGTTAATAAGTCATGAAAATGCCTTCAAGGTCACATATGGTCAGACGAAAAGCATCTCTGAGAACATTTATATACTGTATCTGAGACTAATGAATCCCAGCACATTGTTAGCAAGCTCCAACCTGTCTGTGTCAACAGCCCTGTTGAAACAGCTGAAACTAGTCAGAAGAGCAGGCTCCGTGACACTATAACCCCAACCCTCGTCCGGCTCCACTGGCTCCTCATCCCCCAGATGATAAGAGTTAAAAATCTTTGTCCTCGCCTTTAAAGCCCTTTACGGCCTTGCTCCTTCCTACCTCTGTGACCTGCTAACACTATATCAACCCGTCCGCTCAGCAAGCACCGGCCGGCTCCACACCCCATGCCCAGCCCGGTCCACCATCGGCGATTGGGCCATCTGCCTCTCTGCCCCCACTTTTTGGAACTCCTTCCCAGTCCCATCGTCTTGCTCTCTCCGTTGCCTCCTCCAGGCACATCTCAAGACCTTCCTCTTCGACCACACCTTTGGCCACCCTCCTACTCTCTTTGGCCTCCACCCCTCCTGATCCCAAATCCCTGCTCGGGTCCAAATCCCTGACTGTCCAGCACCTTGGAACGTCTTCCTGACGTGAAAGGCGCTATACAAATGTAATTTTTTGATGTATATCTTGTGAGCAAATCTCATCAGCTAATTGCACACAATAGTGTCCCACAAACAGTCATGGAACAATTTGTTTTGGAAGGATCATTACGCCGGAAAGCAATCTACCAAACCATCTAACATCCGGGTTCCTACTTCCTGCTAGGTAAACAAAAGGCGCATGGAGTAAGGAAACTTGCCGAAGGTTCCACCCCGCCCGAGAATCAAACTTTTCGCTTGCGAGGCAATTGCTCTAACTCATATGCTAACCAAGTTTTAACTGAAAGACACTAGGCAAGGGCCATCTGCCAAGCCATTTGAGTCGATGGATTGTAAGTGCCCAACACTGGAGAGGAAGATATGCATGGTTTATTTACTCAGTCAAAGTAACACGCTGAGAGACGGAGCATAAACTGAGGAATGCGTCGCAAATGAATGCAGTATTCATGAACCAGGCCTGTGAGGCAGCCCTGGATTTTATACCTTTGAGGAGAAAATACCACAAGCTGAGCTTTGACCTCGCTCTTTGCACTCTCAGTAGGAGGTCATGTCAGGATGCTGCACTGAAAGCAAACGCATGTCAGAATCCAAGACATCCTGCAGTCTGGAATTCCAGAGGCAATTCTATAATGGGCTCTTTTAATCTCAGAGGTTAAAGTAACTGATCAGGATTCTTGCTCCTGATCACAATACCACGCACTGATCTCTGACCTCATTGATCCTGACCTCGCTCCTGTCCACAACATCACAAGAGAGAAAGGGGGGCTGCACAGGCATTAAAGGCAGTGCAGAGGAGAGCAATGAAGATGATCCCCAGTGTTAGAAGAATAATAACAATCCTCCCATTTGATATAGTGCCTTATCATGTCATTCAGACGTCTCAAAATAGTTTGCAGAATATATTGTAAAGTGGATTGACTGTGTACTTTGTGGGCAAAACGGGGCAACCAATTGCGCACAGCAGTGCCCCACAAAAGGACCCACCTCTCTGTGATTCTCACCTCCTGAATTAAGAAATCGTTTCCCACTGCGAACGACAGGATATTTCTCTGCCAGCCTCTTGTCTGGCCAGATCAGGCTCTCAGCAGCGAACAGCACCTTGTGATTTGCTCGCTGGAATTTACTGAGCAGTTCATCCGGGCCACTGGCAAAGATGATGTCAAAACTGGAGACAGAACATAAAAGCAATGGGCATTTCAACAGAATCCAAATTACTACCACTAATAATATACCTTGCATTTGATACAGTGCCTCATCACATCGTTGAGATGTTTCAAAGTGCTTCACAGAATATACTGTAAAGCGAATTGACTGTATTTTGTGAACAAAATGTGGCAGCCAATTGGGTATAGTAGTGTCCCACAAACAGTCATGGTTTGAGTGACCAAATTATTTTTATGGAGGGATTATTACCCCAGAATGCGATTCGCCAATTGACTAACAGCCGAGTTCCTACTTACTGCTAGGTAAACAAAGGCGTGTGGAGTATGGAAACTTACTCCGACTCGGGGCTTGAATCACCAACTTTCAGACCTAGACTGAGAAATAGTGCCAACTGAGACTGACAAATAGCTACTTGCTCTAAGAATACTTGGAAGAAAAAGATATTAATACGATCATAAGTGCTGTCAACCTCTAATAATAAATGTCACAGTTCTTCTCCTGCACCCTACAATGGATGACTGAAAAGAATGTCTATACTGGCAAGAGACCAATGCAATTAGAAACACAATGGATTCCATCTGGACAACTGATGGGCAGATTAATAATTGCTTATAGCAAGAGTTTACGAGATGTAAAACATAAGAAAACTGTTATAGATTAAGATCAGCTGATGCTGAAAGACAGGTGCGGGACTCTTCGGAGATAATATCAACCAGACAAGTTATTTTGAAGTTCACAAACCTGTTTGTGCCTCGTCCCCTCCGCTCCACCATCTTTAGCTACTATGCCCCGAAGGGCGCTATATAAATGCAAGTTGTCGTCATTGTTGTTTGTCGCAAGACTCAGTTTCTGGACTCCAAACACCACAGTATTTATAGAGCTTTCGAAGCTGGGTTTGGTCACTGGCAACGATGCTCTGAGACGTGATCCATTTGGGATGGACATTCAGTAATCTGAGGCTCAGGTAATAATATTTAGGATATGGTCACAGACCGAAACCTGGCCAGCCTGGGTATCTGCAGGCCATTGGCAAGGATGCTACTTATCTTGGTTCAAACTGCAATCCCACATTTTCTCACTGCTACAAACGACTTGACGTACAGCAGTTAAAGTGCGTCTTGAATCATCCCCTCTCTGTGTGACTAAATATCAGCCCAATATTTCCTCAAGAGATGAGGTCCCGGGTCGTGTCAGATTCTGGGCAGGAGTGTATGTTCGCTACCAGTGCAATTGGACATCGACCTTTGGGAAGTACAAGTCTGGATCAGCAATGATAACCAGATTCTCTCATCAAATTGCAGGGAGATATTAACAGAGGATAAAGCTTGAATACAACCAACAAACCTTAATAATATAAAGGACAGTCACTTAAGGCTGACATCAAGAGAGGGTGGCGTTCTAAGTTACTTCCTCCTTCAAAACGATCAACAAACATATTCAAGGAAATGATTAAACTCAGGCCAACGACAAAATATTTCTTGATGATTCTCATGGGAAGCAGTCTGCGTTTTCTCCCTCTCTGTCTCTAGATTCCAAAGACAGAAGAGACGTCATTGTTACCTCCTTTCAACTGCTCTGTGTAGAAATACCATCATATTACCCAGTACAGAGCAGACTACTCACTTCACAGCTACAGTCCATTTGGTGTCCTACCCCCACGGAGCAGACAGCGAGGTCATGCAGCAGGTTGACTGTCAAATAATTTTCATTATATATTACGTGTGCACAAAACAGCGCTGTGTGTGCAAACTGTCTGCTGAGTCTGTCTCGCCTGCACGATACACAGTGTCTACAGTTCACTTTTAATCCTGGCAAGGGCTTTTGAGATGTTCTCCCGATGTGAAAGGTGCTGTATCAAATGTAATGATTATTCATTATTATTATTTGTCACTAATTACCCGCTGCATTTCGTGAGAGAGGGACGTGCGGGATTCTTTTCTCTCAAGCCTCGGAATGTTGCTCCCGAGGTGATCCTGGAGTGGGATCAGGATAAACAATGGGATAACATTCCCATGCTCCAGCGCATTTGCAGGCATGTGTACGCACGTCACTGATCCATGTTAGCAAATTCCATCCCTCCAACAACATTCAGATTAAAAGAGGCGAAATGATCTTTTTCAGGATGTGGCTTATTTTAACAAGATTTTGAATATTCATGTGACAGCTTTTATCTCTCAGAACAAAAGCTTTTATTTTTAAAGACAGGACATCTCCTGCCAAGGAAGATGGGGATGAATATTCTCTCTAAAACTGTGAGTGTTCCATACACCGATTACACTGAGAGCAGTATTTCCAGCTGGATTCAGGGATTTACCATGGATTAATCCAGTATTATATGCAGCCGTGTGTCTAAGTGGGAGCGCAATTCCATCTCAACGAACACTAAATACCCCAAACCTCATCCGCACCACCATCAGCAGCCATGCTTTCAGCCACTACATCCCAAATCTCTGCAATCTCCTGCATCAAATCCATGCCTTCTCCCTTTTTACCCATCTTTAAGCCCTCCGAGACACTACCCTGCCCGAAGGGCACTACATAAATGCAAGTTGTTGTCTTCAGATCACGTGTGATGACGTCCCTCTTCGACTGCACCTACAGTCACCTCCCGTTTCTCTCCAGCTCCACATCAAGCTTTACCATTGCTAAGTGCTCTGAGATGCTACCCTGCATCAAGGATACTATATAAATGTGAGTTGTTGTTGTTGTAACTCTGGTGGAACTGATATTGTACATCTCAAAAGGTAATAATTGCCTACAACTTTGTCACAAGATCTTTTCAACACAAATCCAAAGAACAGGCAGACAGCATCTCTGACAATGCAGGACACCTCCCTCCTCCCTCCATCCCCCCCTCCGCCCCCCAAACACACTGTGCCAGAGTGTGAGCTTAAGTCCTGACATGGGTCTTGGACCCACAAACGTTTGAACCTGAGACAAATTACTACCAACTCTGACTTGATCTATTCTATTCCACAGATGGTACCTGGATGGAACTGAACTCAAGCTCACACCAACTATCCTCACAGCTACCAGTGAGCAACAACTAAAGCAATGACTTTACTTATGCAACTGGTGCAGGTATAAACCTGCCTCTGCACTCATTCCTTGGGTCTGCCTCACAACCTCTTGACTCGGGAGGTGAGACAGAGCCAGGCTGTGACAGGTTCCAGGCTGTTGGAATCCACACCTCTCAGTGAAGAGCACCACCAGGTCCTGACGATCAGCGTGCTTCCTCATCTCCTCCTTCAGCAATCGCACCTTCTGTCCTCCGCCAATGGAGTTGAAGGCCAGCCCTCCTCGCCATTCCTCTCCTTCCCCAGCACCTGCCGAGAGACACAACAGTGGATTCTCAGACCTCTGCTCTGTTCAGCCCAAGTGCTGGTGTGGTAGATTATCAGAGAGACGTAGGCTACGAGGAGCGATTAAGTAAACTGGACATGTTCACACTGGAAAAGAGAAGGTTGAGAAGCCATATGATCACATTTTTTAAGATTCTAAAGGGACTGAATAACATACACCATAATAAGTTGGTTTATCTTGTCCAGAACAGTAGATCCAGAGGACACAGTCTGCGATTGAAGGGGGGCAAATTTAAAACAAATCTGCGATAACACTATTTCAGTGAGCAAGTAGTAAATGTATGGAACAGGCTCCCTAGGAAGATGGTGGAAGCAAAAAGTGTTGATTCTTTCAAAAGCAAATTGGATAAGATTTCTTTTAGGAGTTAATATCCTGGAATATTATATCCTGCAACTGCCAGGATGGTGGAGGCAAACTGGATGGACCTTGGTCTTCTTTCATCTAGCAATTCTTATTTAGAGGGAAAAGTTAAATATTAATATTCTGCCAGTGAGGAACCTTTCTCTCAGTCTTTAAATTCCACCTTAAATCCTACCTCTTCGACCATGTCTATGGCCCCTTCTTCCTTGGTGGGCATCTGACCCAGCCACTTGATGCAGCATGAAACCCTGTTCTTTGTGAAGAGCGCTGTCTAAGTTTCAGCGCCTTGGGACGTCCTCCCGATGTGAAAGGTGCTATGCAAATGTAATCTTGTTGTTGTTGTAAGTGCAAGTTATTGTTGTAGATATAACATCTTTGATGTCTTAAAGCGCCTCACAGGATTTATTAGAAAGTGTAGCAACTGTGTATTTCATAGGCAAATGTGGCAGCAGAATTCCACAGCAGTGTCTCACAATCAGCCGCAAAGTGAATGAACAATTTTATCTGGGGCATTGGCGGCCAGGACACCGTGAGAAATTCCCTTTTTTTTAATAGTGCCACGGGATCTTTTATCTTCCACCCGAACAAGCAGACAGCACGTTGGTTTGAGACATCCTACCAATGTGAAAAGCACTGTCTAAATGTAAACTGTACTGTGTTTTGTTTTCCTATGTTCCGAGTAGGAGTTGGAGAGACTGAGCCACAGACAGCAATGGCTGAGGCAGATAGGTCAGAGCTCCCTATGAAGTGCAACAGGGCTTCCTAAGGGAAACTCAGCACAAAGCTCACCTTGATCGTGTAGTTGAGGAGTTTTGCCGATTGCATGAAGCGTTTAAATCCATCGGTGACCTTGGTAGCGACCGTCAGCACCAAGAGGTTCTCTGAAATGACAAGATAGAGTAGATCAATAAGTGCCAAGGTCTGGTTTAGGAACTGGGAAGAAATACAACATCAATTTCAGTCTGAGCTTCAGACTGTCCACCTGGCCATTGTACAAGGTATTGTAAGCAAACTATTTCACAAGATCAGTTTGGATGAAGAAGGCCCTGATCTCATCCCTCCAAAACCACCCCCCACCTCACAGCATCAAGCCTTAAATGAATCCAGTGTCCTGGCCTTAACAACCCTTCCTATTTCAGTCATTAATTTACTCTCTGGGTAAAGAACAACTAGCTGGTGTCTGTCCTGAAATTGCCCATTACAACTTTAAACCTGCGTCCTCTTGTTCTACTTTCTTGATACATCCGGATGTGTTGTTCCGGGTTTACTTCTTCAATCCCATTTAAAATTTGATACACCTCTATAAGATGCCCTCTGAGTTGTCTTCTCTCAAGACTGAAGAGGCCAAGCTTGTCTAGCCATTGCTCATTCGTTCAACGCTGGGGATCATCCTCTTTGCTTTCCTCTGCACTTCCTCAGGACCTGGTGTAGTTATTTTATCTCTGTTGCACAGCACTCTATCCAGCCTTAACACAACTTTCACACGGAGCTCATGACCACATTTCAGCTCAAGAATCTGCCTAAAACCACACAGCTTTCTCTTCTCCAAACATTTAATGGTTTCTCTTTTTTCCCTTGGTTTTCACCAATTGCTTTCTTCCTCCTGCTATTGGCTCACTTTATCACTGTCACAAGCTTCCTGTTGTTTTATACGCCCCCTTTCCTAATTGTTATATAGTCTGTTTTATTCAGCGTTTTCTTTCATTAGCGATCAAGAAAGAGACAGAGAGAGAAAGGGAGAGAGATAGCAAGAGACAGTGAAAGAAATAGGAAGAGAGAGGCAAGACAAACAGACCGAGAGAAATACAGTGAGACAGATGATCATAGCGAGAACAACAAATTCTCTCTGGGGAGAGATAGAGAGTCAAACAGACAGACAGATGCAGTGAGATATGGCAAGATAGCAAAAGAGAGAGAATAGATTCTCTCTCAGGGACAGAGAAAAAGAGTCAGATGGAACTCAGAGACAGAGAGAGATAGCAAGAGAGTGTGAGTCAGGACTGTGAGCGAGAGAATAACATTTTTGAGTCGCATTTTACAGAACAGCTGTGTACATGTCAAAGAGCCTTGACCAAAGTATTGAAACACGTACTCCATGGATGCCATTGCTATGACAACACATAAAATTATGTTGAACAGTATCCACATGAGTGGGTCTGTCTCCTCCATCAGCACAGCACCACTGAAAGGGAAACCATTTGGCTAAGCAGAAATACAGGAATGCCCTCACCATTTAAACCAATACCGTCCCTAGTTATTACTAACCTTTCTCTCTGTTAAAACTTTATGGTATTTGATATTGCAATGATTACATTCCATAAGGGCCTTGATTTGAATAATAATGATAATAATAATAACAACATTTGATACAGCACCTTATCACATTGTCGAGTCACCCAAAAGTGTTTTGCAGGATATCCTGTAAAGTGTAGTGACTGTGTCATGTTGTAGGCGAATGCGGAGGCCAATTTGTGCATGTCAAATTTACCCTATTTACGTAACATTTTAAAGTATTCAGAATTTGGCAAGTTCGTAAATACAGCTTTAATTTTTCCATACGGTTCTTTTAAGAAAGACACAAAATAGACGTTAAAAGTAGAACTGAAAGGCACTGTGTCAATGGAAAATTAAAGTAAAAATTAATAAACAGTACCTTTCAATAAAGTAGCCCCACAAGTGAAATTATCCCATTACCGGACAAACCACTAATTTATTAGGTCATATAATTATCGCAGAAGTGAAACCACTGTTTAGTTTTCATGTTGAGTAGCTCAGTAGATAAAGTTGATTTAATAGGACAGAGTGTAAAGGAATCTTGGTTTGTTAAACCTATAAATCAATTCACGTTCCAACAACTTCCCCATCTCCCTGATCTCTTCCTTCCCCATTCTGCTCCGCTCAGCTAACCCAAGCTTGGTGTGTTTCCCACCCCCCAACCCCACCCCCCATCAGGAGCTAAGTTTTCAAAGTCTATACCCCTAACTGCTGGGCTCTCTTCCTCTCACTCCCCCACTTTCTGTCTTCCAGCTACGTGTCAGCTTGGCTCAGTAGTTACACTGAGTCAGAAGGTTGTGGGTTCAAGTTTCACATCGGGACTTGAACTCACATAGTCTAAAATGACACTCCAATGCAGTGTAATTTCCATTGACACCGAGAGAAATTCCCTTCTCTTTTCGAACAGCGCCATAGGATCTTTAATGTTCAACTGAACAGGCAGACGAGACGTCAGTTTAACATCTCACCTGAAGGACAGCACCTCCGACAATGCGACCCCCACTCCTCCCAGCATTGCATTGCAATACCAAGTCCTATTTTGGACTTCAACCCATAACCTTCTGATTCAGAGGCAAGAGTGCTACCACCGAACCAGGCTGACACACCTTGCGAGGATGTGGACCTCAATCGGAAGGAAGTGCACCCTCCTCAAAGTAAAAGTAACATACGGGCTGATTTTATCGTCCTGGGATCTTTCAAGCGATTTCAACCTTGAATATCTCCTGCGTGAAATTACAAAGAGCGAATGTTGATGAAACATTTCTTCACTCAGAGAGTAGTGAATTTATGGAATTCACTTCCCCAGAAGGCTGTAGATGCTCAGTCCTTGAACATCTTCAAGGCTGAGACTGATAGATTTTTAAAAACAGAGGGATTAGGGGATATGGGGATCGGGCAGGTAATTAGAGTTAGGTCTGAAGATCAGCCATGATCTTATCGAATGGCGGGGCCATAATTCTTATGTTCTTATGAAAGGGAAACACGAAAAGATGAATGAGGCAGCTTGGCTTTTCATCAAGGTGAGTAAATCTCCAAAGGCAACTCATTTCATGTCATGGGAGCCAGTGAAGCACATTTTCCTTCAGACAAAAACATAAAGTGAGTCTCCCATTCAGAATATAGGGGTAGAATTTGCTGTTGCTGAACCCATTCCCGATGTTAATTAACATAAGGAACGGGTTAAGAAAGAATGCAAATTTTATCCTGCATTTCCACTGGAGGCACTAGCCTGGCCTAGTCTGTATCCCTCTCACCACTGGGTCAGAAGGTTGTGGGTTCAAGCCCCATGCTGGAGCTTTGAGCTCATAGACTTAACAGACTACGTTAAAATCCAAAAATAGAAGTAAGTTTCTTCCGCTGTCATGGCCAGCAATCCCTCAGACTAATCATTAATTTTTTTTCACTTCATTGCCCTGCCCTATACACGAGTTGGATGCTTTATTTGCCTGCAAATACATGGTCACTACACTGAATAATAAATCCATTATGAAGTGACAGGCAGCGTATCAAACAATAAATCTGTAAGAATTTATTGTGGAAGGATCAGAGAGTCACTCACCAAGTTACTTGCAACTACAGGTCAACACGCTCGATTTATGCAGAAACACAATGTGCTGCTTTGATAAGTCATAAGTGACTTTAATAGGTCAAAGAAATATTTTCCAAATCATAAATATTCATTAGCATTTTACTAATTTTTGACTGAGTAACTTTGCAGCATTGACTGGTACAACTTTTCCTTTCCAGATGAGCAGCTGAGAAATGTTTTGTCGGGTCAAGACAGTTGTCTGTTTGCTTCCAATGTGGAGTAAAAATCCTGCATATAAAAGGCTGAGGAAATTAAGGACAGATTAGCTACTCAGTACAGTACTGCGCTCTTAGCTGAGTGCAGAATTTCAAGTTCCTTATGTTCAGGCAGGACCTCGGTTTCACATCTTATCTGAAAGACAGCACCTCCAACAATGCAGCAGACCCTCAAAACTGTTCTGTAGCATCAGGTTCGACTAAGTTCTAACATGATAAGCTAACATGAACCCACAACCTTCTAACTCAGTGGTTCTAACTGAGCCAGGCTGATGTCCTTTAAATATCTGGTAGATGTTCAAATGAGGTATATTTTAAGAGATAAGTGAGGTGGTTTGGCAGGAGGTGCAGTAGAAGGAATGGTATGAGAGGCAAGTCATCCAGAACAAGAACTCCCACTGTTATCCTGGCATGTGTGGGATTCATTTATGAGAGGAATGGGGGTAGGAAAGGAAATAATTTCACAAAAGTGCCTTTTGCCATATCAGCAAAATACGCCACAAAATCTTGTCTTAAAACATAAACTGGGTGGAGAAAGTACAGAAAACCAAACACTGAGCTAAATATATCACTCACTAAGTAAAGCTATACGAGGAACATACTATTACTTCGAGACATTAACAGCTAAACAGAAAACAGTTCACACTTTTAGCAGCTAAATGGGAGATGATATCAAACAGTTAAAATTCCAGCACCCAGCACCCAGAACATGCCTTGTTTAGCTGTGAAATCTAGCTAAATCTGCTTAACAGCCAAAATGTTTAACACATTCCTGACCTGACAAGCTCTAGAGACTTGTCCTCCACTCAGCTGGCTCTTGCCTCCTCATCCCTTGTCCCCTCCACTCCATCATTGGCGGCCATGCTTGCAGCCACTGCACCCCAAAGCTTTGGAGCTTTCTCCCTCAATCCCTCCTCCTTGTCCCCTTCTTCCCTTCTTTTAGATCATGCCTGAAAACTTCTTCTTCGACCGTGTTTACAGCCACCTCCTCCCTCCCCAATGGCTCGACATCAGGCTCTATAAATGCAAATTGTTGTGGTTGAGTGCATGGATGTTAAACAGTTTCTACTGTATCAAGGTGGCAATGACCACACTGATTTTGTAATGATTTTTGCTCTTGCTGAGCCTAATACTCTCTGGGATTACGTGAGCAGGGAACGTCCCTTCAGAGGCACAGTATAAACTCAGTACCAGACAAACACAAATTGCCACGTCTGTGGAAATCTCAGTAGTTTACTTTGCAGACTCTTAAGCATGGCGATTGGTTTCCGTGTGTGTCAAGACAGACAGCTAATAATAATAAAAAGTAGTCAGAGATGCAC